AGTAACACCAGTAGAGAGACAGACGGTCCCTAGGTAGGTGGGGCAGTTCGTGTGTGAACAGGCTCGCCCCACTCCGGACAGGCAGGCGACTTGCTTACGATCAATCCTAGAGCTCACAGGCTCGTTATCCAAGTTCTAGTGCGACAGGGTCTTTCACACGGCAAGACAACTGTTGAGAGGCGCGGCTAGAGCAGGGTACAGATGATAAGGGTTGTTTTGGACGACACAGGGACTCCGAGTATGTGTGGTCGAGAGCGAATAGGTAGCGCAGGGGCAATTAATAGGTAGCGCAGGGGCAATTCGACTAGTAGAGGCGACGGTCGGGGACGCCTGGCGACGGTCGGGGACAGGTCTGTTCTCAGTCTAGTGGAAGTCGAGGCTCATAACCTGTTGGAAGGTTAGGCTATCTAGTTTGCATATGAAGAAGAAGGACTGTGTACACGAGAACATGGAAATCTATGGGGAAAACTCTCGCGCGCCTAATTCCCTTCTTCGCCTATTTCTACCACTACAAGTTCACGCCGGGATACCACAACATCCTGGACCTCGCTGCTCGGCCTGATCCGGATCCGGACGCAGGGAGGGAGAAGTTTCAAGTGACCACCTCGACCAAGCTCGGCATCGAACGCAAGTTCCACATTACGCTCAGGGACCTGTTCATGCTCTTCTACGTCCTGTTGCACAACGACATCAAGGTCAAGGTCAACCCCTCGGATGACAAGACGTCCGTCCAAGTATCGGAAAAAGTACAGGGAATGTTGTCCGCTGCTCTCATCGCCATTCTCGCTCAGGTCAGTCTCATGCCTTCCCTCGCTTTTCACATGTTTGCGAGGCTGATTACAAGGGATGTAGTTAGCGCAAGAGTTCCATGTGAACCGATGTGAGTTTATCAACTTGGCCATCCACGACTTCAGCGTCACTTTCCAGCTCAAGAACCGTAACATCGCTCACGTCTCGCGCATCGTCTTCCGCGATCCCGCCACTGCCAAGCGGGACATCCTGTCCGAGGGCGAGCTCACCAATATCTTGTCCGGTATACAATCCAAGACAAAGAGGACCGCGGCTGTCCAAATGCTGTTGCGGGAGAAGCCTTGGGAGACGGAGGCGCAGCATAGCCTCTTTGCTGTGCATGTGGCCGGTCTGGTTTTGCCGGTCGGCGAGGACACTACGTCAATGTGGATGGATGGAGAGAACGAGGATTTGGGTCAGGTGGAGGATGCGACTGGCCCAGTCAGCGAGGTTCCACCGCAACAACACCGGGGCACGTCAGCCTTCAAGATGATCCCCTATCCGGCCGTTGCTGCAGATCTGCAATTGCACCAGAGCGTTGACACGACCCATCATCTGGCCATGAAACGCTTGTCGGATTTCCGCTGGGAAGAAGATTCAACATTCCGCGTCCAGGTGTCCCCTCCTCTCACGACCGACGAGTCCGTCGTCTCTACCACAGGAAACGAGAAATCATCCAGGCAGGAGCCCGAGGACTTGAACGAGCTACTGCGCAAGACCGACCATCAGACCGTTCTGTCCCTTTTGTCACACCCAGACTTGTCGGTCGAACTGCTCCAATACATAGGTTCCGGGAGATTATGGGATGCCTACCGCGTCAAACTCTCCTCTGGCTCAACACCGCCACAGATCGTCGTGGCAAAGATCTGTAATCTGTACACGTTCATGCTGGGTGACGCGAACAAATACGAGACCCCCTCAGCGGCAGCCGAAGCGATCAAGATCGAGCTCGACTTGTTGAACCGCTTACAAGCGGTCCAAGGGGAGATTGTCCCCCGATTGTACGGACGATGGACGGGCAGGCGTCAGTTGCCCAATGGCGGGATGACGCGCTTGGAATGTGTCATGTTGGAAGACTGTGGGATGCCCTTTGCCCAGTCTGACAAGCTTGAAACCGAGTCGGTCCGGTTGCTCATTCCCTCACTTGACTTGGGAAAATCGCTGATCGTTTTTGATCCTAGGTTATACTATGACGACAAGGTGGAGAGGTTCACAACCGATTTGTCATCCAATGTCCGGTACGTGGCTTGACTCTGACCCAGGCTTCCGATACTTGGCCTGACTACCCGTTGCAGACAGCAGATCATAGAAAGCTACGAGAGGCTACACAAACAAGGGATATTGCACGTCGACGTCAACAAACGACATATCCTTCTTCATCCGGTCGATAACAAACCACGAATCATCAGTTTCGAGGGCGCGATATCTGTTTCCGAGGCCCAAGCATCGTACCCGGACTACAACGCGGAGGCGGAGATGGAGAGGGTTCGGTGGATGGTGCGCGCGGACGAGCAGCGTTGAGTGCTTCAGGTATTTCCACTGTGTGGAATGTAGTACTGTAGAATGTTGTTACTTGTATGAACATTCGTTATCTGTATTATTTGCCCATGTGAGAGCAGTCAGCTCTGGGGAGGTCAAGCTTACGTGTTCTGCTCGGTGTAACGTGGGCGTCGGCGGCGAAAGAACGGGTTGCACAAACCCGCGTCGGACTTGGTGTACGTGAACTTGTACGCGTACCAGGTGGAGTCGGAGTGCGGCACTTCACTCGAGCCGGGATTACCCAAAGAAGCGGCTCATGGGACTATCATCGAGTCGTAGTTGTATGTAGATATTTACCAACTTGGGTACCATTACCTCTCCTGTCGGCGCTGTCGTTTCATCATTCTCCTCCCCCGATACCGAGCAGGAGATCCTTGAAGACGTCCAAAAGGAAATTAGACGAAGGGTCCGTGAGGCACTGTTGTTGGAAACCCCGCAAGAATCGTGGATGGCGGATCTGATTCGCGTACGAGGCCGGGAATCGTGCGAATATTGTCCGATGGTTCAACACCGGTGGGGAAAAGGACAGTAGAAGCTGCCGAACGAAGAGAGGGCGGGCAGAGGTTGAGTACGAGTACCCGGGCCAGGGAAGACTGAAGAGGGTACAGTGAAGAGGAGAGAGTTTGTTGGCCGGCGGGGATTCATGCGAGGAATCTATCAGCAGACCAAGTGTATGCATATGTCAACATCACCGACACCATCTATCTGAACATATACTTTGCCTATTTACTGCTTAGCAGCAGCGACAGCCTCCTCAGCCTTCGCCTTGATCCCAGGCTTACCCCAAGATCCCTTCGCAGCCCCAGCAACCTTGGGCTTCTCCACCGCCGGCGTCGCCTTCAGAGCCACAGTCGCCGCCCTTCCATCAGGGATGAACCCAAACTCCATCCTCCCCTCCGCATCCTTGGTACCCTGGCAGATGTAGAATCCCTTCCTCTCAAACTGGATGATATCCCACTTCTTCAATCCCTCAACTTCACGGGAAGCGAGCGCCCGAGTGCGGTACTCGGTCTTGGGGTTGATAATCTCATTGAGGTCGTCGTCCTCTTCAAGCTTCTTCTTGGTGATGAGGTAGTCGTAGTCGATGAGGACGACGGGGATGAGGGGCTTTTCGGCGGTGGGAGCGGCGAGCCAGGTGACCTTCTTGGAAGTCTTCTTGAAGTCACCAGCGAGATGGAGGTTGAGCTCGAGGGAAGCAACGTCGCCAGATGAGGCAAGGTTCTTCTTGGAGACAAAGGCATTCCCCCAGTCCATAGCGGTGATCTGAGTTGTATCAGCACTTTGCTCCATCAATCAGCAATACTACTCACCTCCTCGTTGTCACCAAAGGTCTTTGCATCCTCCTGCTCCAACAGCACCTCACTCGAGAACACCATCTCCTTCTCTCCCACCTCAGGGTTCTTCTTGTGCAAAGGCTTCTTGACAACTTCAACCGCTTCGCTCTCTCGACCCTTGATAGTAGCAGGGACGATCTTGTCCTCGGCGATGGCCCAGTATCGAGGGGCGATGGGGTCGATGACCTTCTTGTTGGTCGTCCAGATACCGTCCCATTCGAGCTGGACGGCTTGCTGAGACGCGCCTTGGGAGAGGATGTAGTTCTTGAGGCCCTGGACGGACATACCACGAGATCGGATACCTAGAAGAGATGAGCAGTGCTCTGGTAAGCAGAAGATGGACGTACCTCGGACGGTAGGGAATCGGGGGTCATCCCAGCCGTTCACAACACCCTTGTCAACCAAGTACTTGAGCTTTCTCTTCGACAAAACGGTGTTGACAAAGTCGACTCGGGAAAAGTCAAAGATCTCGATGTTGGGGAACTTGAGGGCCTTGAGGAACCACTGGTATTGCTCGTGTCGAGCCCAGTACTCGTTGGCACGGAGGGCGTGAGTGACACCGTCGAGGTGGTCGATGACGGGACAGGCGAGGTCGTACATGGGGTAGGCCTTGTACTTTTTGCTACATGAGAGGTCAGCGATGTACGAGAAAGTGATAGGATATGCGTACCCAACGACGTGGTGGTCGGCATCGACATATCGGTAGATGACAGGGTCTCGCAGAGTACCATTCTTGTGCTGGTAATCAATCTTGGCCCTCAAACTCCACCTCTTGCCCTCTTCCGTACCCTCACACATGTCGGCAAACCTCTTCAAGTTCTCCTCAATGCTGAGGTCTCGGTTTTTGGAAGGAATCTCGGCACGTCGCTGTTCCTTGACAGTCTCGCCGTCGGTGTCGTCCATAAATGCGTCGCCCTGCTTGATGAGCTGGATGGTGTACTCGCGGATCTTGTCAAAGTGGTCGGAGGTGTGGACGATCTTGTCGAAGGAGATTTCGATCATCTTGAGGTCTTCTTGGATAGCCTCCTCAAATTCACCCTGAGAATAGTCTTAGCTGGGAAACTGGTGGGTCGAGCATGATTACTCACCTCCTCCTTGAGGGGATTGGTGTCGTCGAAACGAAGGATGAACTTGCCCTGGTACTGGTCGGCGAGGTATCGGTTAAGGATAGCAGCCTTCAAGTGACCAATGTGCAGATAACCAGAGGGCTCCGGAGCTATACCACACGTCAATTCTCGCATACGTACATCTCCAGGGTGATCTGAGCTTACCGAATCGAACCACAACCTTCCCCTTGACGGCATTGGGCAAAACGACATCGACACTCTCCAACCTCTTGGTCTTCTTGCCCTTCTCCTGCTCACTCTTCGCCTGACTGAAAGTCTTCAAAGATTGCTGAGGAACGTCGAGGGTCTCGACGTGGGTGAACCATCGCTGGAGGTGAGGGCGTCCGGGCTTCTTGATGGAGCCGATGGCAGAGTTGTTACCTCGGATGGTTCCCCAGATGGTGGCGTCGCCGAAACCAAACTTGGGGCCGGCAAAGTAGGTCCTGCATTACTTGTCAACATTGAGCTTGCAGCGAATGCACCCGACCAGGGGACTCACCTGTAGGCAAGGTAGTCATCGAGCGCATCGAGGACGGCGGTGACATCCTGGAAAGTACTGGTGGAGCTCAAAAGAGTAGGCAAAGGAGGAAGGGGAATCTCCTTGCCGTCAACGCCCTTTTCAAGCTCGGCACGGACAGCTTCGGCGCCCTTGACCTCGCCGTAAGAAGCTTGGCCAGTCTCGCCAGAAGTGGTATCCCAAGAGACGGGAATGCCCTGGAGGTAGGCGAGGGCGATGATAGAGAAGGGGGGTGTTTGAACGAGGGGGAGCACAACGCTGGGCATTTTGGTGGGTTCTGGAATGAACTGATAGCAGAAATTGAGCAGAAAGGGAAGATCCATATGAAGGCAGAACCATGATGTGGCTTTGAAAAAAACAAGTCATGACGTGGAAGAACCGAACGATGCATTCACCTCAATGCGCAGTACAGAGTACTCGTGCAATATGCGGCAGTAACTGTGTGGCGTAGACTGTATACTGTGTGATCTTGCATCATGGACCACTTACCAAGTCAGAACAAGTTGACTGAGAACTGGCAAACAAAAAGTCAAAAATAAGGTCTCGTCCCGGGATTGAACCGAGGACCACCCCCAAAGCGACTCGAAAATCACCCTAAGAGGGCATGCTACCACTGCACCAACGAAACGGCTATGCCACCGAAGACCGGATATGTTTGTTTGGTGGCCCGTGTACATAATTCCTGCAGCCTGCACGCGCCTGTCTTTCCCAACGACTGACGGCCTGCGCCGCTGGTTCTTGATGGTGTTGTGTGACTTCGTTGCCGTGTTTGGCATTTCTTTTCAACTCTGTCCCTCACGACAGGCTTACGCAAACATGAGCAAGAGCCCTTTTCCTCAAGACCAGCGTCTCTAGTCCGGCGTGAGTCTTCAAGAGAGCTGTACCGATAGCGCGTAGAAGTCATCCAACTTACGACCCTACAGGGCGCCGCCCAGGGCAGCGCGAGTTTGACTACCTCAAGTCCCGTCCATTCTCAGCAGCAGCAACTTGCTTTCTCCGGGGACATCGAGGCCGTATGTACCTTGTCAAGCTCAGATCTGGGGTGTGCAAGCTGACGAGCGAGTAGAGCGCTGGGAGTAGCACTGTCGGGCCCCACCCATATCCTTACCGACCCCAACTTACCGACCCCAACCCTCAGGGTGACAAAGTGACCCGGCCCTCTGCCGCCCTCGCTGTCTCACTCGGATGACTCGCGCTCTTCAATTTGAATAACATTTTTGGGAAGCTTGTGTACTGGTTTTGGAGGTTCTGGCGCTCGGGATTGCTCACCTTGAGGTGTAGCAAGAGGTGCTTGAAAAATGTCAGGAAGGGTGGTGCTGTCCAAGGGGCGTTGATTTCTATGGTCTCCTTCAAGGTCGATGGATGTAGGCCGCCGAAGCTGAAGCTGTGGCCTCCGTGCTGCCCGTCCTGAATGATCATTTGAAGCGCGGTGTTAAGCAGCAGCAAGTCGCCCACCCCCCAGAGGCCATGGAATCAATGGAAGGAGAGGGTGGTCTAGAAGGCGACGACGAGAGGGGGCAGCCATCGGGAACAGTGGCGACTGAGGATGAAGAAATGGATGCCAAATGCACCTCCATATCGTGAGTGGCTGTACCCCGATTAACATCGATCGGCGTGCTGATCTTCTGTAGCAATCGCTCCTCCCTCACCCCCGCCGCGCAACCTCAAGCTAACCCTCACGAGTTTTCGCATGGCCCCTGGAACGATCCAGGGCCCCTCCTACAATCGCTTCCACCCCGTACTCCAGAATATCATTCAGGACGTTCAGAACGGAGACCAGGGCTTCAGCTTCGGGGGCATACACCCAACGACCGTGAAGGAGACTATGGAAGTCAACGTCCCCTGGACAGCACCACCCTTCTTGACGTTCTTCAAGCACCTCCTGCTATACCTCAAGAGCAGCAATCCCGAGCGCCAAAATCTCAAAAACCGGTACACAAGCTTCCCAACGATGTTATTCAAGTTGAAGAGTGCGAGTCGTCCGAGTGAGACAGGGGCAGCAGACAGGGCGCTCAGAGATGAGATTGTCGATCTGTGGATTAGGGCTTGGGAGGAGCAGCCTGAGGCAGACCGAGGTCGAGCGAAGGTGAAGAAAGAGGACTTGGAAAGCTACTATTGATTGTATAATACATGCATATATTCGTAGTACTCCCTTGCATCACTTTAACGACGGAATGTGATCGATTCACACTCCCGCTCTCATGTTATACAATGCCCAACTTCTGAGATCGGTGCTCTTGCATGCGGGCAAGAAGGGCTGCCATCGGTCATAACTCATACCCGAACCTACCAGCTGGTCGCCACACTTGGATACTCGTTACTCGTCCGCGATGTCCAAGCTTGAGAGGGAGGACAGGTCGTCGCGCCAACCGACGGCAGCTTTGCGTTGATAGACTTTTGGTTCGGCGAGTGTGGTTGGGGATGGGAAGAGAGAGAGACCGGTGGCTAGGGGCGGAGGTGCGGTTTGTGGTGGGTATGCTGGGGGTGATTTACTCGTGAGGAGATTGCAAAGAAGAAGAAGAAGAAGCATGTTGGGCCGTCAACTTGACAAGGCAAAGACGGCTCAGGGCCCCGTGTAGATATACCTTGATACCAAGTACATTCAGAACAGTCCTATGAGAAAAGTTGGGCAAGACGGATGCTATGCTATGCAGATGATCTATTGTTGATGTTGATAAAGAAAGAAGAAAACCAAAGGGCGATACTGGTAAGGAGTCAGAGAGGGGTCAGAAACCTCCGGGTACATCGTCGTACAGATCTTCCAAACTCCATTTCGGACGCAGGTCCAGGGCGTAGCCGTCCCCCGCCCACCGGTCTGGGTCTGGTTCTCGTATATGTGGTGTTGGTGGTGGTGGTGATGATGAAGGTTGTATGAAGGGAGAAGAAGAGGGAGAGAGGGGGGGAGAGGAGGATGATGATGAGGTGAGACGGGCGTCGTAGCGTAAGAGGGCTGTCCACGCTATCATCGCCGCATTATCTACACCCCCGTCAGCCTTCTTTCCCCTTTTTCCCAAGCAGAATCACAAACGGAGAGAGATGACTCACCAGTACACAAAGAAACAGGCGGATACCAAACCCCCTTCCCCTCTCCCAAACTCTCTCTCAAACACGCCTCAAGCTTGGCGCGAAGGTACTTGTTGGAAGCCACCCCGCCGGAGACTGCCATCCCGCTCAGCTTCTCCTTCAGGAGGGGGGGAAGGGAGGACAGGGTTTGAGAGAGTTTGGTAGTTAGGTGGAGGGTGGTTGCGTGTTGGAGGAGGTTGGAGTATGCGCGTTGGTGAGGTTCGCCCCACCCTCCTGATTCTCCTTGGGGGTTGGAGTTGGAGGTGGAGTTGTGTTCCTCGACGCGGCGAGAGAGGGCTGCGAGGAGGCCGGCGAAACTCCAGCCTACGACGTGTTTGGCGCTCCCTTGCGTCAGCGGTATGGGCAAAGGTTTGAGTAAGGGAGGGGAAGAGGAAGAGGAAGAGGCGAAGGGAGGGAGAGGAGGGAGGGAGGCGTAGTGTTCGAGGGTGGCGCCGGGGGAGAGGGAGGGGGACGGGGGGAGGTTGAGGAGACGGGCGGATTTTTCGAATACGTCGCTGTTAATCAACAGGGGTTAGTTGAACGTGGCACCCTTTGTCGCAACCTCTCGTCATCCGACACCACTCTCAGACTCGGAGGACTCGGAGGGGAGAAAAGACGTACCCGATTTTAGAGTCGAGAGTGTCCATGAGGATCTTGAATTTGAATACGCTCTCTGCGAGGACGAGCTGGGTATGGCCGCCTGAGAGCAGGAGGACGAGGAATGGGAACTCGGGCGGGGTGTGCTCAGTCAGGAGCGGTGTGAGAGCATGTGCTTGCTACCAGGCATCAGCAACACCCCTAGGGACGTAGAGAGGACATACCATATGATGCACCCCGACGAGCGGCTTGCCCCAGCCGGCAGCGAGGCCCTTTGCGACCATCTCGCCGACATGCAAACATCCCCTCATCCCCGGTCCCCTCGTATACCCCACGATATCCACGTCCCTCCATGTGATACCCTGCTGCCTGGCATCCCTCAACACACGCTCGACGGCGAGGGGGACGTTTCTCGCGTGGAGGGCCTGTGCTTTGAGGGGATGTATGCCGCCGTGCTGGGCGTTCTGGGCGTGCTGGGAGATGGTATGCAGGGAGAGGATGCGGCGGGCGGTGTCGACGAGGGCGGCGCTGGAGTCGTCGGCGCTGGACTCTATGGCGAGGGCGAGGCTTGGGCGGGGGCGGGGGATGCGCATGGTCGGCGTCGCAGAAGAAGGATCCGCGCGCGTCCTTTTCTCTCTTTCATCCCACCACAACCCCTCCCGCCGCCATCGCCGCCCCCCTCGCCGCCATCCACCATGGCCGAGAACAAGTACCAGATCCGCCATCCACACCAGAACTGTGAGTGCTGTGCATGCATGGCAGAGCTGACGAGCGCAGACACCGGCGCCACCCCGGTATCGCCCACAGACTCGCCCGCTCGCACTGTAGAGTACCACCGCCCAGCACGCAACTCTGCCCACTACCCCGCCGGCACCGACCTGGCGCTGGGCATGGGCCCCTCCAGCACGCCGTCCTCGACGTCCTCCCCGCGCCTCCCATCACAACACGCCCCCTCGTCCTTCCGCTCGCCCCTGGACTCGCCCCAGCTGTCCACCCCCTCAGGCCGGGACTCGTCGTACACGTCTGCGTCCAGCTCGCGCGGGCTCAGCTACAAGGGAAGCCCGAATCCGAATGCGCGGTTCTCGACGGGCACTGCGGGGGGCAGCAATCCCATACCTCCACCCCGTCCCATGCGAGCAGGCACCATGCCGCTGGAGCTTCCTTCCAACAATGTCACTTCCTGGGATACCATCCCCCTTCCTCCTTCCAAATCCCCATCCACCCCCTACCCTCCAGGGCAGACCCCAGCGCTCCCCTCGCCGTCAGTGTACACGCCCATGAGCGCAAACGGCGTCAACCCGTACTCGTTGGAAAAGAACATGGAGGATGTCAAGCTGGCGGGGCAGATTGGTCTGCCTATGGGCGTTGCTGAGCCCCGGCTTGGGGGCGGTGTGGCTGGGGAGAAGGAGCTGCCGAGGGAGCCTGCGATGGGGGGCAGGAGCCGGAGTGGGACGGGGAGGAGCAGCAAGGACAAGAAGAGCATGTTTGGCTTTGTTTCTGGTACGTGGAAGCATCCTTTCGCCTGCATCGAGCTGATAGAGGGGGTAGATTTGTTGAATAAGGAGACGAAGCCGCCGTTGATCTCGAAACCGTATGACCCAGTGCATGTCACCCATGTCGGATTCGACTTTCAGACTGGCAAATGTACGTTTCCCTCTCCCCTCCTTCCTCTCCCACGACACTCATACCATGCACACAGACACGGGTATGCCTCCGAAGTGGCAACAAGTCCTAGACGACAATGGTATTACCCAAGACGAGCAGGCCCAAAATCCCAACGGTGTCATGGCGGTCGTCCAGTACCTGAAGCATCAGGATGAGGATGAAGATCCGGAAGATGAGATCTGGCAAAAGATGAGGCATGCGCAGGCGCAGCAGCAGACGCCGGGTGGAGGGCAGGTATTGGTTGGGAGTGGAAGCGTGACGCCGAATATGAGTCGGGAGCCGAGTGCGAATGGGGAGCAGCAGCACGACTTTACGACGCCGAGGGCGGCGCCGGCGCCGCCGCAGAAGCCGGGGTTGCAGAGGTTCCAGTCGGAGAGGGGGGCGCCGCTGCATTCGCCCGGGATGCCTTCTGCCTCGAGACATGCGCCGTCCGAGATCACCACCCCTGCCCGGCTCGCGCCTGCCCCCGGCCAGCTCCCGCCTCAGCAACAAGGTCAGAGAGAGCTCGACAGGTCATACTCGCAGCGCGCGCCAGCACCAACCAAGACCAAGATCCTGGATCGGGCGAATACGACCCGTGCCCAGGGGTCGAGCACCAAGAGCACGGGCGGTTATGGTGGGCCGGGGTTGTACAAGTCTCAATCCCAATCTGGACAACATCGGCTGCCCCCAGCGTCGTCCTCTGGCGCACCGCACCAGCCTTCTGGGTCGTCTATAGCGGCACAACAAGCCCCTGGGGGGTTGACGAGGAACCATACCCAAAATGCTGGGTCTTCGACGCAGAGGCAGCAGCCTGGGCAGGGGGCTGGCGCGGGGCCGACGCCGAGGAGGAGGGAGAAGGACAAGAAGGAGAATGAAGAGGTGATCAAGCAGTTGAAGATGATTTGTACGCCCGGGGACCCGAATCTGGTGTACAAGAATTTCAAAAAGATTGGTCAAGGGTGCGTATCTCCATCGCTTTTGGCATGAGAAAGGGCTAACGTGGATTGCAGAGCGTCGGGCGGAGTATACACCGCAACAAACCCCTCCAACCTCCCAGTCGCCATCAAACAAATGAACCTCGAAAAACAGCCCAAACAGGATCTCATCATCAACGAGATCCTCGTCATGCGCTCCGCCGCGCACCCCAATATCGTCAATTACCTCGACTCGTACCTGCACCAAGGCGATTTGTGGGTGGTGATGGAGTATATGGAGGGGGGCAGTTTGACGGATGTTGTTACGGCGCATTGTATGAGCGAGCAGCAGATCGCGGCGGTTAGTAAGGAGGTGTGTGAGGGGTTGAGGCATTTGCATAGTAAGGGGGTTATACATCGGGATATCAAGTCGGATAATATCCTCTTGTCGCTGAATGGCGATGTCAAGCTTAGTCCGTCTCTTCTCCTTCTCTTCTTTGGGGGGTCTTGCTGATATTGGGGATAGCCGACTTTGGGTTCTGTGCGAGAATAGCCGATCCGAATACGACGAAGCGGACGACGATGGTCGGGACGCCGTATTGGATGGCGCCAGAGGTCGTTTTGAGGAAAGAGTATGGGCCGAATGTGGATATCTGGAGTTTGGGTATTCTCGCTATCGGTCAGTCCTTCTCCTTCTTCTCCTTCTTCCCCCTCTTCCTCTCTCTCTTGTGATTACAGGGCTGATGAGCCATGACAGAAATGCTCGAAGGCGAACCACCCTACCTGACCGAAAACCCCGTGCGCGCGCTGTACCTCATTGCGACAAACGGCACGCCGCAGATCAAAGATTGGGATAGGCTCTCGCCCTTGTTTAGGGATTATTTCAAGGTGACGCTTTGTGTGGATGCGGCGAGGAGGCCGACGGCTGCGCAGATGATGAAGGTGAGTTTTAGTACACGGCAAAGAAAGGGAAAGGGGAAGAAGAAGGGGCATGGGCTGATATGGGTGATAGCACGACTTTTTCCAAGTGACGGCGCCGTTGACTTCGCTATCGGCCATGATCCGGTCGTCGAAGAAGAACTAGTCCTTCTTTTTTCACGCCAACGCCAAACCGCCATCTATCCATCCCATCCCATTACATCCCCTCCATCTCTTCCGGGCTTCTTCTTGCCTTTCCGCTCTCGCTCTCGAATTATCCTGCATACTGTCAACAAAAACACAAATCCTTCAAATCCATCTTGCGATATACAATCCGCGCTTCCCGCCCTCTCATTCTCATTGTGAAACGCCCCGCCATGCCTTTTTCTGTCATTGAGCTTGTGGCTCGGTAGAAAACAAAATATCAGTAAACCCTCTTCACCTGTAGATTCAGGCGTTTCTCTCTCACTTTCGTTGTTTATATTCAACATGCCGGTTTCTGTCGTCCGACAAAGTCGGGGCTAACGGGCAAAAGAGGGGAGGAGACGAGACGAGGTGTAAGAGTTGTTTGGTCTTGTGCTACCCCTTTACCCCTGATTCTCTCGCATGACTTATAGATCTCCTTCCTCTTCATTCTTTTCTGGTCTGTTTTCTTTCTATCTTATCATGTGAACAATATCTTCAAAATGGCTCTCTCTGTCTCTGTCTTTCTGCGTATCTTTCAATGAAAAGAACATTTCAACTGTCTTATACTTTTGTCCAAACGTTTTGGCTTGACGTCCCGGGGCCTCGGATTTCGGTACTCGTCGTCCTTTTTTCATATATGTGAAATGTGATCCTTGTGGACCATGGTACTGAGGATAGTTGATATTTACCAATGCATAGGTGTAGCCCGAGAGAGATCAACATGCAAGACACGTCACTAGCCGCTTTGACATCATGATTGGGTTCTTTCGCTGATGCTGCGTCCTAAATCATATCTTACTGTTCCGTTGATCTTTCTGCCGGCATTGATCAGTAACAACGGCCTTGCTCTAATCGATCAAAAGTGCAGATGTATGAAGCTAGACGGCGAGCGAGAAGACGACTCAACTCGAAGTTTGCAAGAGAGCATCTGCTTCGAAGACTATGTAGTTGTACACCGCTGTCGAGCCCGTCTGGCTGAGAAATCTAATATGTCTATAGAGTATGCATTCCAGTATTGATTTCACAGACAGACAACATGATACTACTTTGAATTTTTCGTTTTCGCTCTTGCACATAAAAGGACAGAAACGGACATTGATGAGAAATACAACCTCCGATACGATACAACCGCCAAGAAAACTCCTCTTCTTGCTCACTGAACCCACACAGCCACATACTAGACAGGCCTAGCTCTAATCGAGCTCCATAGCCGCCACATGGGCTAACGCATCCAACCACCCTCGAGCGTCATGCCCACCATCGACCTCTGACTCTGCTTCTCGGGATCGAGCACGACGCTGCTTCTTTCTCGAGTGAGTGTTGTCGCGATAGGGACGGGAGAGAGTCGGGAAGGAAGACGATTTGAGCATCTTCCAATCTCCGTGAGGGCGCTGTGGGCGGGGCATATGAAGGATGGGAGAGTCACGAGGGGGAGGGCGGGGAGATCGTCGGTGCTCGTATGGAGCGTATCGTGCTCGCTCGACGAGGCTCGTCTCGTGAGCGTGAGCGTGCTGGTGGGGCTGGGGAAGAACGTGGGGCGCGGAGTAGATGGCCAAAGACTGCTTGTGCCCCTCGCTGGAAGAATGAAGGCGCAAAGCTTCTGGGTCGTTGGGCAGGGTACCGCAGAATAGGCCGGTGTAGACGCAGGGCTTGCACTGGTAGGCCTTGACTGTAGCTGGTGTTAGTGTTGTTAACGCGGGGTCATGTTGGAAGATACTCACTCTCGGAGAAGGAAGAGTCGGAGAAGGCGGGAGAAGAAGGAGAAGTGAGAGGAGGAGTAGGTGGGAGTACCGGCAGCTTGCTGTTGGAACCAGGCAGGGGAAGGACCATGTGCGGGTTCCTGACTTGGGTTGGAAGAGTGGCTCGTCGAGACATGCCTGGACCGCTATGGGCGCCCGATATATTGGACACGGTGGGCGGATAGATGTCGGAAATGGAGCGTCGCATGGGAACGGATGTCGGGAACGGGACGTTCGGGGCGGGAGGAGAGGCAGAAGAGAGGATTGGGCTATGACTGAGCCAAAGGCGCGCGCGCGAGAGAGGATAGGTAGTGCAGAGCGGCCTTGGCGAGACCGACATCTCCACTTCGTCCTCCTCCATCTCTGCGTCCATAGGGTCGAACGTGGAGACGGTATAGAGGGAGGAGCTGGACACGGTAGGTGAAGGAGTGGGCTGGTTGTACCAAGATGGAGGAGGAAGAATACCTTGAGTGTTCGCCAGAGGCGAGGGAGCAGAAGCCGGAGGAGGAGAGGGAGAAGAAGTCAAGGAGGTAGGTTCCGAGGCAGGCGGTGTTATATGCCTCTCTACCTTTGTTTTTGTTACAGAAACACTTTCCAAGTGCCTCGAGCTGAAGATGTGGCCTCGGAGCTCGGCGATCTCGAGAGGTAGGACAATGTGACATTGAGCAGCAATGGAGCAGGGCTGGCAGCCGTAAAAGATGGAGTGGGACTGGGTCTCTTGTATCACCGCGATACCTGTGGCAGAGAAGTCAGTATATGGCTCTGTAGTCGGCGAGGAACAAGGCACATACCAGTTGCGAGAGGAAGAGCCGATTCGTGTTGGGACAAGGCTCGGACGATTCTGAATGATGTCTCGCGAGCATACACCAACGGGCCGGTGGATGGCCTGCCAGAGTGAGCGTGGATGATGGGCACGGGAGGCATTTTAATGGGTTTCGTAAAGCTAGAGACAGATGTATAAGCAGATGCTGCAAGAAAAGGTCGGGAGACGTAAACTGACCAGGATAGTTTTTGGCTCTTCCCGCGTCCGGCGAAGGAAACTGTAAGACTGTAGTGATACAAAGGGTGACGTGACTCGTAGTATACAAAGATAATATGTCACGGGCGAGCTTGGAGGGATGGGAAACGACGGGGATGAGGTATCAACGCTGCTGCCCCGGGGTTCTTATATATCTTCATGCGCGGGAAGAGAACGAAAAGGCACTTGTCGATCTCAGTGCTAGCAAGAGAGGCAGCCTTCCTTCGGTCTCGCGCTGGCGCATACATACTCTTTTTAACGCGCGGACAATAAGAAAGTCGGGGCAGAAGCTTACGAAACTTTTCGGTAGGAGCCGAGTTCCCGAGCAATCCGGACGGGTTGTTCTTCGGTGTTCCGATAGATACGGTGGCCGTCTGAGAAGTTGCTGAGAAGGGCCGTAGGATCGCGTAGGATGCAGCAAGCCCCAACCTCCAAGCTCCAAAGAGCTCCAAAAGATGGCGATACGGACGATTTGACCCATGCGTTTCTCTCGCCCAGTCTCGACCCACGCGTGTGAGAATGCCCAATGAACAGGCGGCAAGGCGGCAAGAAAGTTGGTTTCGGCGTATCTTGTTGTCCTCCCCGGCGTTTGGCCCCATTGCTCTTCGGTGGATTATTGTGTTGCCACATCGCGTGAGCATGGTATGGAATGCTTCTGGCGTCGGATCTTCGTTCTTTGGGGTTAGCGTAAGAAGACGAAGCGTAGCTGGTACCTCTAGTGGCTTTGGATAATAGAAAAAAGAAAGGAGCGATTTTGGTTGTGTCACGTAACCGATTGCCTGACGCCCCGACACAATCTCCGCGTAACCACCGCCTGCACCGGCTGACGAAGATAACGAGGCGTTTATAAGAGTACATACTACCATGTCGGAAAAGAAATCCGGCGGGAAAGTGACGAATGGCAAGAGCGCTTTGTCATGGAATTGTCATGGGGTGCGAGGAAGATAAGAGAAAAAGAGTACGACGCTGTACGCTGGATTGATGAGTCAAGCGAGGCCGACCGCGGCCCGCTATATGATGCCGAATTTCTTGATGTGCTGACTGCTGAGACATGAAACAGCAAGTGTCGATCATATTGGCTGCCTGTGGGGCCTGTGGTCTACCCCACTAGCGTGTTGAGTGATCGGAGACGTAGAGGTATGTAGCTTGGTTTGATCAATGCCGCTCACAAGTGCGGGTAGTCGTTCTTTTCTCGGGTACCACCAGCCTGGATCGGTATGTATAATCGGTACCGGTTTCGGAACAGACAATTGCGAGTAAGGTTCTGGCCCCAAGTCACCCCTTCAATTGTGCGTTTTCCTGGCATGGGCCTGGCACCACGAGTGCACGAGCATCCACTGTTGTCACCAGTGTCTTATTTCTAGGGTGTTTGTCAGTTTGTCAGATGTGAACGCCTCATCATCGCCCCACATTGTACAAGTGATGTCCTCACATGACAGTCGATCTTCTGTTGGGGCACCAATGCTCGTACCTGGGGGAAGAGGGCTCCCGAGCCTTTTGTGGGGAAGGAGCAACGTCTCTAGCCGCCGGCCTGCTACGTTATCGGCCAAATCGGGGAAGTGCACTGTATGTCTGTATCATCATGGAATAGTAGAGAAGACTTGAGGAATCATTCATAGTTTTCTGGAAGCGACTTTACATACAACTCACTACAACGTCATAATCATGATCTACAACTGTACGAGTATTCTACACCTCGTTACAATCCACATCACCTCCACATATTCCATCCACAAAGAGTCAAAGACTAACCCCCTCAAGCCCAAATGAAGAACCCTCCATCCCTCCCGCTGTCAGAGCCTGGTACACTAAGCCTAATCTCCGCCTTGCCGCCTTGAGGTATCCAATGCAGAGCCCCATCCGCACAAACCAGCCTCGCCCTGTCTTTGTCCACCCCTTCCTCCTCCTCATCCCTCTTATCTTCAACAACGCTTGACTGAGAGAACAGCGGTACCCAATCAAACCCTCCACATCGAAACAGCTCCACGACGACCTCCCCCTCACCTTTCACCTCGCTCGCCCAGCTTTCGCTGCCCACTTCTCCAGCAGCAGAGACAGGGTATGTGAGGTTGATATGGGACCCGGCGTGGTATGCTTTGGCGAGGACTTCAAATGCGCGTTGGGACCATGTGGCGGATCGCTGAGGAGGTGGAAGGGAAGAGACGAATGGGTCGCGCAGGGGGCGGAGGATGGTGAGGTGGATGTACTGATTCTGGTTTTCGAGCGATGTGGGTGCATGGGTAGCTGATGTGGAAGACGACGCGGGAGGGGAAGGGCGGAGGGATGTTTTGGGGGAGATGACGAATGCAGGTTCGAGTCTGTCCACCGAAGCGGTTGAGAGAAAGTATGCGAAAGGGCCAGATACTGTCCATTCGCTTCCAGCTCCTTTGGGTTCTCCAAGAGTATAGGGTGTGACCCAAGAATCTGTCTTGGGGTCCCACTGCTCGACATTGCCTACGCCGCCTGCGGCATGGACAGGAAAGAGGGTAGCGTCGGCATTAAAGAAGACGCCTGCGCTCTCTTGGGCTGCGACCTTGAACCGCGCGGTACCGGGTTGGGAGGCTCGTAGTTTCTCGGAAGTGTCAAGAATGGCAGCGTGGAGTGAGGTGGAGAGTACCACATGTGTAGGGATGGCCTTTGCTGGAGGCGCAGAGGCGGAAGCAGGTGGATTCAGAGTGGTAAGGGTTATGGGCAATGGGAAAGGTTTGGCGTCTTTCTGTGGGGAGAGGTAGGCGATGAGAGGGAGAATGTGTTTGATCACATCTTCGGAGATGGGAGTTGGTAAAGAAGTTAGAAAGGTGGTATCAGGCAGCGGCGAGCCTGGGGGATACAAGGAGGAGTATAGCGCGTTCGCCTATGTCCGAGTTAGCAATTGATAGCACGGCACGATGATAAAGACTGACCGTTCCAAATGGCAAGATGAACAATTCCCATCTGGTTGATCCCTTTCTTTCATTGATGACATTTCCTTGCAGACCTTCAATGAGCTCATGTGTCGTCCCATCGCCACCGACGACGATCACTCTAATCGGCTCCAGAGTCCCGGCCGCCTGGTGTGCAGACAAGATAGCAAGTCCGAGATCCCCTGCGTGCGCTGGTGCTTCAGTAGTGTGAATCTGGAAGGGGACGTTGAGATGATCGAGGAGGGGTGCGACATGGTTGTCGATGACTATCTCAAAGTCAGCTTGGCCGGGTTTGGTGGCACAGAGACGTACACTGTGGCCCATTGCCAGCGCCCGCGGCGGGGTTGACGATGATGTGGAGCGGTGAGGACATGGATCGTGTTCTGGAAGGAGGGAAATTGTTGAGATGCAAAAGAGAGATGAGGATGCGATTCGAGAATTGTTCGAGAACGTCTTCGTTATGCTTCCTTGCTCGTTCCTTGCGTGCTTCAGCCCGTCGGCCACGGAACCAAATCGCGATTACAAAAAGAGTTTACTACAGAAGCTAATCCTCTCTTTCATTGCAGGAACATCACTTTCGTTGCTGCATAAGACAGGATGTGATAGCCACATCCCTGCATGATCATGAGCATACCAGTGGAGTCGAGCAAAAAGTTGCAACAAAAACGACGGCACCCGGGACTCGCACGACCTTGTTTCGTCGTTCTCTTTTTCTTCTCTTTTTGTTCTCATCCATCCCCCTATCCGCCATCGCCTCTCTCCTCTCATACGACCGCGTGCACCAATCCCAACTTCCCCATGGCACATGAAGGCCCCTCTACGCAGACGAGCGGATCGTTCGCTGTCCCGCAACCGTGAGCACCTGGGTACTGTGTGTGTTGATCACTTTCTAATCGTCGCTCAGGGTGAACCAATTCTCTGTCTCTCGGAATCCGCTCTCAGGGATTTTGAGCTCCATCCGGGGCGTCACTGCCGTCGGTCCCGCCGCGAATCCTCCTATCGCCGCTGCTACACCGTCGCACGCCGGCTCTGCATCACACAAAGGCAAAGCTCCCGCAGCCCCCCCCTCCTCGCAATCTTCTGTCCACAGCGCGTACCCCTCCGGTCTCGGACATCCCGGGAATCGGGGTTTCGAAGGTCCTCTGCGGTTGGTCCCGTTCGACCTTAGGATCCCCAACGACTATCCCAACTCTTTCACGATCAACCCATACAAAGCTGTAAACCAATTTTTGATGGGTTCATTCTGGACCGATTGTTACCCCACGATCCTAAACGAACGTGGATTCCAAACCTTCCACATTGTCCGTTATCTCCAGAAATTCTATGTTGATCCTGAGACTGTTGTATACCCTACTTCCTGGAACACGACTGTGAACTTTCAACAGACTCCTTTCTATATCTCTCTGGCAAAGAAGTTCACGGATTTGAAGATTGTGCAAGCTCTCAGGAATCATGCCACCGAATCGAAAGTGAGTAGTCTTGCTTTTGCCCCGGATATTGTTGCTGATCAGCTTCTACAGCTTCAACAGCTTCTAAAGCGTCCGAAGCGTTCATCCCAGGCTCCGTCCCAGGCTCCATCTCATGATCCATCCCAGGCTCCATCCCAGGCTCCATCCCAGGCTCCATCTCAGGCTCCATCCCCGGCTCCATCCCAGGGTGCATCCCAGGCTCCTTCCCCCCTGCCATCGAAGAAGCTTGGCGGCCTAGAGCCAGATGTCTGTCTAACAGGGTATCACATTGGAGGCATCGCGAAAGGGACACAACCCACGGACGGCAGAGAATTGAATCATGACAATAAGCCCCAAAGAGTCCTCTACGCTCTCATCGAGGACAAGTGGGAACCTTGGCTAGGGAAAAGTCAGCTCAGCCTACACCTCGCAGGCCTCCGCTACGCAAACGCGGAGGCTATCTCTCAGACAATCTACTACAGCCTAATTGGTTATGAACTCTCAAAGTGTCGTTCGGCTATGGCATGGGTCAACGGGGATTTCACTCGTATCCTGAACCTGTGTGATCTGGTGCCAGAAGGAGAAGAGGTAGGTTTGGAGAGCGTGACCATGGGAGGAGGCGGTGGCCGGACAATCCTGGTCGAAGCCGATTCAGCTCTTGTCGGGAAGTTGAGGTACCACAGGCATGATTGCCTGTCTGCAGAGCAATTTGGCGCTCTTGTGACAGGAGAACATTTCATTGGTATCCCGTGGAAAGTACCGAATTCCCTCATCGCAAATTACGAGAACTGGGCTTTGGATCTAAAGGCTAAGGAGCGCCTTGATGCCACTGTATATATGAACCTTGCCCTTGCTACCCACCATCCGGAGACTGTCCCAGATCCTCCCATCGACAACCGTTCCCGCGAAAACGTAATGGACGTGAACCCCTCCGAGGAAGAGGCACATCAGTGGCGCAAAGTCAGTGAGAGGATGCAAGGACGACGCCAGACGAGAAAGGCATCGATAAAGAAAGCTGCTTCGGCTGTGAATGCCGCTGTTTCTGATACCCGGAATCAGGTCGTCGGTGAGGAGGAGGATGAAGAGAGGGAGGATGAAGAGGGGGAGGATGAAGAGGAGAAGGACAAACAGGGTGGCAATAGGCGCGATGAGGACGATCGGAATCCTGATGGCAGGCCTGATGGTCCCGGCGGTGGCGCTCCTGGTCCCGGCGGTGGTGCTTCTGGTACTGACAATGGCAGTGGTGATCATCCTCCCAGCGGCCGCCGCTCTATTCGATCGACGAGAGCCAGGAGCGACAACGGTCAGGAGCCGTCCAGTAAAAGACAGAAAAGGGCCGATGTCTCTGGTGAGTTCTCGGCTTCGTCGCTATGGTGCTCGAGTCTGACTTGAATCTAGGACCGACCGATAACTTGCCCCCCTCTCCTATATCAATGATTGCAACTTCAACACCCTCGCCGGTCTCCTTTCCGACAATATGCTCACTCTTCAAAATTGAACAGCCAGTCAATGTAAAGAAGTGGTGTCTGTCCATCAAACAGGAGGCTTTGACCGATCATACATTCGTCAATACGGCCATTGGTCCCAACCCTGTCATCTACACCGATGCCGAGAAAGTCCTTCCCCGGGGATACTGGACCCACGCCGAGTACCTCGACCACTTCTCGGAGCTTGGGGTCAGCTTCGTGCTGGCCACGCCCCTCGAGGTGGACGTGCTGCTCTCGCGGGCGGCGAAATTTGGCTGGGGTGGGGCGCTGGGGAGGGGGTAGGTGTCGGGGGCGGGAGAGCTGGGTGCTGGCGGTTACATAGAGTACGTACTATGGTAAAGAGCCATAGAGACCTTCAGGAGCAGAGCACGATTTCCCTCCTTCGTTCGGTAGGTATCGCTGATAGATCAAAACCGCGACACAACCATGTCAGATCCTGGCTGGCGTAGTGCGTTATAGAGAGGAGGAGGTCGAGCTCCGTTCAACAATAGACACGTCTATGCCATATTTTTGAGCAAAGGAAGCAGTAACAATTGAAGAGACAACGCACCCAGACATTTAAGACGAGTGATCAGCTCCGCAAGAATTCTCCCCAGTCACCCTCGGAGTCTCGTGCGCTTATCCACTCTCAAAACCTGGTTAGACATTGGCATACAAGACAGAGCAAAAAGTAGGAGAACTCACCCATGGCTGCGATCGATCTCGTCTATCCGGCGCTGGAAGAGGACAAGCGCGTCAATAGCAGCTAGGTAGGCGCGAAGTACCTGTTACTACGACAATTCTACCTTGTCTCGCCTTGTTTCCAAAGTCGGCTTCCGTATTCAGACATTCCGGTCATAGGGCATCTCAATGGGGGCCGCTTCGAGAGTGATAAATAAAGGACGGATGAAGAATAGTGTTGGTGGTGTTATGACTTACGAGTTTTTAAGTTGCTGCAACATGACATGTCAGCCGGCACCACACGCCGCTTTACTCACGTACCTCAATCACTATCGGCCCCCATATCTGGCGGTATGAATCATATTCAGCAGACATCAGGGCCCTGATGGAATCTGTTTATCGATAGGCCTCCAAATGATTGGTTGGGTAGGATGAGGGTGAGCTCTTTTCAATTTGCATGGTGGATTGGTCGCTGACAGCTTGTATATTCGGCGCCGCCGCTCTCGATTTTCTATACTCCTCCGTCCCATCCAAGCCTGCTGAGGCTGGTCCCCAGTGCTTTGCCCGCAAAGTTTCTCTCGGTTGGGTTTTCCCTCGTACCTGAGAAGAAAAGACAGATCGAACACAACAGGCACTGAGAACTGTCTGTTTGGCCTGTATGTTCATCTCATCTTCATTGACTATTATACTGATCAACGACTAAGATGGCGCCGCTCTGTTCTACACTGCCCATACCCAGTCTACGACATACGCGCTCCTGAAGAGCTATCTCCTCCACAGACTGTATACTGTCCCGCCTCCACTGAATCTGCCACCAACCTCCCCAGACACCGTATCGGCACCCGTCATCGTCGGTCCTACCAAATTTCCCTTCAACCATCCAGCCAACGTGCTTGACGGAGATGCTGTCATGATACCCAGCGGATGGGATAGCTGAGGCAAGATCAATGTTTTGAGAGATGGTTTCGACCCCGCACTGGTGGAGAGGGGTTGGAAAATCCGCTTGAGCAGGTATATTGCGCAGTCTGCGGGTCAAGAGCCTGAAGAGGCTGATGGAGAACATCTCGAAGAGTTCTTTCTGGCAGGCGCTTCTCCCCTCCTTCGCGTCTCCTCCCCCGCAATCTCCTGCCAACCTTACAACAGTCACCGAGCCCTCCCAAAACTTCCTCTCCAGCCATATCGACCTCCTCATGAAAAACCCCGACCGAGAACCCCGCCGATCTTTCCGCCACGCCGCCACGCCGCCACGCCGCTTCCGCCACCTCATCCTCCAACGTTCCCTCTGCTTCCAACCCCGGCGCGGGTGGGTTCAACAATACCGTCGTCCGTGGGGCCTATGGGCGGTGCTGCCGAGGGTTTGAGCTTGCCCGCTGTAGAGAAGGTCATACAGGAGATGGAAGGTCGGATTGGGGAAGGAGATGATGGGAAGGAAGGAGGGTTCCCCAACTTCAATCACTTCGTATACCAGGGCAAGACCCTTCCTGCTCCTTCTCTCTTGTCCGGCCTGGGCAGCTCCGGCAGCATGGGTTTGTGGTTGCGATGGTTTGGCCAGCTTCTTTTTTCGAGAACAGGCGGTCAGCTGGGAGAGGAGGTGTGTTCTTCCGTGATTCCTTTCTGCTGATAGTCTCAAGTCAGGAGAAGATCAAATAGGAGGGCGATCAGTCAATACTTGCTGTAATGAGGAACGAATGGTCGTTGAATGGTCGACATGTCAGTCTTGTGAGTTGTGTCAGTCTCTTGCGGTCGGTCTTCGCCGAGACCGCTCCCGCTCGTCTGCGTCCAGCAACAGGGAGGCGCGTCGTGTTTCTTCTCTGCTGGTGGTGTCATAAGCAAGAGTAGGTGTGCATGAACAATCCAACTATACCGAGGCCCTTCATTGTCAGCGGCAAGACGGTCGTCGTTGTGAGAAGGCTGAGTGCTGCGATGTCGGCTGCAGGCGGGATGTCGTAACGTCCGCACCATACACCGCCGGTCAACTCGTCCTGCGGATATCACCGCGCGCGGATGTCCGTATGATGTGATCTAAGTTTTTGATTTTGATGTCGCGCGGACATTTTGGCGTCCAAATATCACACAGACATCTCGATGTGTGTCCTTCAAAATGTCATACTTAGTCATACCGACTGACGTAGCACGTACTTATGTATGTACATCTAGTCAAGTGGGATTGCCAAGGGCAGGACAGGTCAATCAAGGCCAAAAGAATGTAAGACGGTTGTTGGGATGCTCTCGAAAGTTGAAAACGATTTCAAGCTGGCGCCGCGCCTTGAAAACACAACGACATATTTGATCCCGCGCTCAGGCTTCGTTGTTGTCACCAGGGTTGTCACTCGCTCGCACCTGCATTCCTGTTTGTCCTCTTTTTGTTCTCATCCATCCCCCTATCCGCCATCGCCTCTCTCCTCTCATACAACCGCGTGCAACAATCCCCACTTCTCCATGGCCGATGCAGGCCCCTCTACGAACACAGGGGAACCGACCCCTGCCCCGCGACCGTGAGCACCTGGGTACTGTCTGTGTTGATTACTTTCTAACCATCGATCAGAGTGAACCGATTCTCTCGCTACATCAATTCGCTCTCAAGGAGACTTCACTCCACGCGGGATCGAATACTTTCACGCGGGACCTTTCGTCCCACATCTCTTCTTTCTTCCTCCTCCCGCATCTCATCCCATCCAAACACACTCCGGATGGACGATCGCACGCCCTTCCCCCTCTTCCTGCCCTCCTCTGGCTCTCAAGGATCTGCTACCGCCCCGCTTCATCGCGTATCCACCATCCCGCCCGCCTGCATCCCCACTAGCATGGCCGACGCCCTCGAGCGCGTCACCTTCGGTCCCAGGCATTTCTACAAGAAGAAGAAGGAGGAAGTGACGAGCGATTCGACGACGCGCAAGCGGCCTGCCAAAGCGGGTTATGATCCTCTCCCGAAGCGGCCAAGGCGCGAGCATCCGTCTCTACCAAAGAACGGGGCCCTCCACTCTGCCAAAGCGGGTCCATCAACTTCACTTCCTCCCGAGCATCCGTCTCTACACAGGACCCTCGTCGCCTCGGCTCAACGGACCAGTTCGAGCGGTCAACGCAATCCCGACTCGAGTGACGCCAAGCACTTTTGGGAGATCCTCAATTTGGAACATGTCTTCACGTGAGGGATTTTTGCTTATCTTCGACGAATGACAGCTGATGAACCGCACGTAAGATATCAATACAATCCCGAGGTTGTCCCTCGACTGGTCCGAGGCCTGATAAAGGTCGTCAACCACCTCACTACTTTGAGTTTGGACGAATCGCTGGCGCTCAACGAGCTCGTTCAGTTCCTCTTTCAACTCGAAAACAGGCACTCGGTCTTCCTTCCCGAGCCATTGAGGCAGTTCGAGCGGGGCAGCAACTCGTTCAATTTTGACACTTATGAGCAGCGGGACAAGAAGGGAGGGAGCGATGTCGTTCGGCTGGTAGGCTATGGCGGGAAGGAAGAAGGGTCGACAGCGTTGGCGTTCTCGGGTGAATGTCAAGCGGCCAACATTTACGCCAAACACCTCTCTCGTCTCGCGGCCAATGACCCGTCGACTTCGTCTCGGCTAGAGAGCCGTATTTATCAGTACGCCCCGCCGGTGTTTTCTGGCGTCCTGGACCTTGCTGCCCGGCCTGATCCGGATTCGGACGCGGGGAAGGTGAAGTACCAAGTGACTATCTCGACCAAGCTTGGCATCGAACGCAAGGACGATATTACGCTCAGGGACCTGTTTGTGCTCTTCTACCTCCTCTTGGACAACGATATCAAGATCAAGGTCGACCCCTCGACCGGCACGTCGTCTGTCAAAGGATCAGAAGAAGTAAAGAAAATGTTGTCCACTGCTATCATCAACATTCTCGCTCAGGTCAGTCACATGCCTTCCCTCACTTTTCGCATGTATGCGAGGCTGATTACAAGGGATGTAGGTGGCGCAAGAGTTCCACGTGAACCGATGTGAATATATCAACTTGGCCATCCACGACTTCAGCGTCACTTTCCAGCTCAAGGACAAAAACCTCGCTCACGTCTCGCGCATCGTCTTCCGCGATCCCGCCACTGCCGAGCGGGACATCCTGCACAAGGACGAGCTCGACATCATCTTGTCCGGTATACGATCCGAGACGGATAGGGACGAGGCTGTCAAGATGCTGTTGAAGAGAACGCCTTGGGAGACGGACCCGCAGCATAGCCTCTTTGCTGTGCTTGTGGCCGGTCTGGTTTTGCCGGTCGGCGAGGACACTAAGTCAATGTGGATAAACGGAGAGAGTTTGAGTAATGTGCAGCAGGCGAGTGCGACTGGCCCCACCAGCAAGGTTCCACCGCGAACGACGGGTTTGCCGACGACAACTACCACGACTGATACGTCCCAGTCTGGTTCTACGGCTACCGGTGGCCCGTCCGCCTTCAAGATGGTTTCCTATCCGGCCGTTGCTACAGATTTGCAATCGCTCCAGCACACCGACACGACCCATGCTCTGGTCATGGACTGGTTGTCGAAATACCGCTGGGAAGAAGATCCAACATGCCGCGTCCAGGTGTCTCGGGGCAAGACCAGCTTGTCGGAATTCAGCGATAAGTCGGCTTCTTCTGGCTCTCTGTCTATTCCTTCCCTCACAACCGACGGGTCGGGCGCATCGTCTTCATCTCCCATTGGTCCCTCATCTCATACGACCGCCACGTTCGTTGGCCCCGTCGTCTCTACCACGGGAGACGAGAAATCATTCTGGCGGGAGCCCGAGGACTTGGACGAGGAGGACTTGGACGAGGAGGACTTGGACGAGCTACTGCGCAAGACCGACCATCAGACCGTTCTGTCCCTTTTGTCACGCCCAGACTTGTTGGTCGAAGTGCTCCAATACCTAGGTTCCGGGAGGTTATGGGATGCCTACCGCGTCAAACTCTCCTCTCGCTCGACACTGTCACCGCCACAAATCGTCGTGGCGAAAATATGTAATCCGTACACGTTCACGCCGAGTGACGCGTACTACAAAACCCCCTCGGCGGCGGCCGACGCAATCAAGATCGAGCTCGACACGTTGAACCGCTTACGAGGGGTCCAAGGGGAGATTGTCCCCCGATTGTATGGACGATGGACGGGCAGGTATCAGTTGCCCAATGACGAGATGGCGCGCTTGGAATGTGTCATGTTGGAAGACTGTGGGATGCCCTTTGTCCAGTCTGACGAGCTTGAACTCGAGTAAGTCTGCTTGCTCATTACCTCACTTGACTTGGGAAAATCGCTGATCATTTCGATCCTAGGTCATACTATGACGACGTGGTGGAGACGTTCCCGACCTATTTGTCATCTGATGTCCGGTACGTGGCTTGACCCCTGACACAGGCTTCCGATACTTGACCTGACTACCCGTCGCAGACAACAGATCATAGAAAGCTACGAGAGGCTACACAAACAAGGGATGTTGCACGGCGACGTCAACGCCCGGCATATCCTTCGTCATCCGGTCGATAACAGACCACGAATCATCGATTTCGAGGGCGCGATATCTATTTCCGAGGCCCAAGCAACGTACCCGGACTACGACGCGGAGGCGGAGATGGAGAGGGTTCGGTGGATGCTGCGCGCGGACGAGGAGCATTGAGTGCTTCAGGTGTTCAATCTGTTTTTGTAAGTTGTCATTCATGTTCGTAAAAGATGTAGCTGATTAGTTTACAGAAGGACGTGCTGGGACAGGTCGACCGTTGCCACCTTGCGCTGTCGGACTATTCTACACCGTTCGATCCCAGGAGCTTGCATTGTTCCGAGGTTCACTCTGTTCCGACTGGTCAGCATTCTTATCTCACACTGCCTGATACCGTCGACTGAGCACATGTCATAGGTCCAATCTGACCCCCACTTCTGTCCTAGTGAGCTAGAACGTATGGGATACCCGTCCGACCCGCGAATACCGAGATACATCTTGCACGATCGTCTTTTGGAGTGGTTGAAGCCGCTCAAAACGAGCTACGAGAGGGATCTGTAGTATGTTATGAGAAGGTGAGCTGGGTAGTGCCGTTAGTGTACTCGTGCTGACTGTGTGGCAGGTATCGAGTGTATGAGCCGGAGACAAGCGAAGAAAGAGATTTCGTTACCAGAATCTAAACGTGAGCCTTATCCAATTCCACCCATTGCCCAATGCTGAAGGAAAATGCAGGAACCTCTCTGGGAAGCCTATTCCATCCTCGTCAGCAACGTCCGTGACGCCGCCGCCAAGATTCTCCGCGACTTTTCTTCCTTCAAAACGACCCTCACCCCCATGCAAGTCATCGCGCATCACTGCTATGCCTTGACGAGGTCCATCCGCTCCCTTACTCGCTTCCAGACCTTTCTTCCGGTTATGGACTGGCAGCTCGGAAAAACACGGTGCACTGGTTTCGATGCATCTTGGCGCCTGCTGCGGGCCACATTGAGCAATCAAACAAGTACCGTTGGAATCGTATAGCTCGTCTCTACAGATCTGCTGATACTATATGTGATCTAGAGACGACATGCAGATCAATAGAGCCGTTGTGGAGTAATCGTCTTGAGAGTGCCGACCGAGCATTTCACTTTATGTTTCGTTCCCCCCCCCCGGGGGTACCAGGTGGAGTCGGAGTGCGGCACTTGACAGTTGACTCGAGCCGGGATTACCCAAAGGAGCGGCTCATGGGACGATCATCGCCGAGTTGTAGTCGTATACTATAGGTCGCGAGCCCTTTCTACCGCATCAAAATTCATCTGCGATACATGACTTGACAACGAGGCTTGCACCTCGGGCGCGTTGATCGACACTTTGGACGATGCCCCTGTGGAGTTCTATGAGATACCGGACAGCCACTTCTCGCGTAGCCCCGATCGTCGCTTCAGTGAGTCTTGCTTCACTGAAGCGATACCAGCGGCAACCTTGGCGATGGTTATCACTTATCAAGACCCAAGACCTGATCAATACATCCAAGCCCCGGCAAACCTCCAAGTTCGAAAGTGGGAATGGTGCCGTTATCAAACGACCATCAAGGAGTTGATCACCTCTTGAAATGAGTTTTCAACAATGCACAAGGGCCAATGGCCCTGCAAGTTGATGGACAGACGCGGGGATGACCGCTTTGCCGGAGTAGACCCAGGACAGAACCTGTCGCGGCGCGGCGGTTTCACAGAACAACTCTACCCCATTAGCATGATGTTGAGTGGTCAGAGACGCAGAGGTAGCTTGTTTTAATGCCGCTCACAAGCGCGGGTAGTCTTTCTTTTCTCATGTACCACCAGCCTGGATCGGTATCGACGACTTTTTCGTATAATCGGTACCCTTTTGGGAACAGACAATTTTGCGTAAGGTTCTGGCCCCAAGCCACCCTTTTGATTGTGCGTTTTTTTGGCATGGGCCTGGCACCACGAGTGGAAGAGCATCCACTTAGATCTAGGGTGTTTGTCTGTTTGTCAGATCTGAACGCCGCATCGCCCCAGATTGTACAAGTGATGTCCTCACATGACAGTCAATTTTCTCTTGGGGCACCAATGCTCGTACCTGAGGGAAGAGGGGAAGGAGCAACGTCTCTAGCCGCCGGCCTGCTACGTTATCGGCCAAATCGGGGAAGTGAACTGTATGTCTGTATCATCATGGAATAGTAGAGAAGACTTGAGGAATCATTCATAGTTTTCTGGAAGCGACTTTACATACAACTCACTACAACGTCATAATCATGATCTACAACTGTACGAGTATTCTACACCTCGTTACAATCCACATCACCTCCACATATTCCATCCACAAAGAGTCAAAGACTAACCCCCTCAAGCCCAAATGAAGAACCCTCCATCCCTCCCGCTGTCAGAGCCTGGTACACTAAGCCTAATCTCCGCCTTGCCGCCTTGAGGTATCCAATGCAGAGCCCCATCCGCACAAACCAGCCTCGCCCTGTCTTTGTCCACCCCTTCCTCCTCCTCATCCCTCTTATCTTCAACAACGCTTGACTGAGAGGACAGCGGTACCCAATCAAACCCTCCACATCGAAACAGCTCCACGACAACCTCCCCCTCACCTTTCACCTCGCTCGCCCAGCTTTCGCTGCCCACTTCTCCAGCAGCAGAGACAGGGTATGTGAGGTTGATATGGGACCCGGCGTGGTATGCTTTGGCGAGGACTTCAAATGCGCGTTGGGACCATGTGGTGGATCGCTGAGGAGGTGGAAAGGAAGAGACGAATGGGTCGCGCAGGGGGCGGAGGATGGTGAGGTGGATGTACTGATTCTGGTTTTCGAGCGATGTGGGTGCATGGGTAGCTGATGTGGAAGACGACGCGGGAGGGGAAGGGCGGAGGGATGTTTTGGGGGAGATGACGAATGCAGGTTCGAGTCTGTCCACCGAAGCGGTTGAGAGAAAGTATGCGAAAGGGCCAGATACTGTCCATTCGCTTCCAGCTCCTTTGGGTTCTCCGAGAGTATAGGGTGTGACCCAAGAATCTGTCTTGGGGTCCCACTGCTCGACATTGCCTACGCCGCCTGCGGCATGGACAGGAAAGAGGGTAGCGTCGGCATTAAAGAAGACGCCTGCGCTCTCTTGGGCTGCGACCTTGAACCGCGCGGTACCGGGTTGGGAGGCTCGTAGTTTCTCGGAAGTGTCGAGAATGGCAGCGTGGAGTGAGGTGGAGAGTACCACATGTGTAGGGATGGCCTTTGCTGGAGGCGCAGAGGCGGAAGCAGGTGGATTGAGAGTGGTGAGGGTTATGGGCAATGGGAAAGGTTTGGCGTCTTTCTGGGGGGAGAGGTAGACGATGAGAGGCAGAATCTGTTTGATCACATCTTCGGAGATGGGAGTTGGTAAAGAGGATAGAAAGGTGGTATCAGGCAGCGGCGAGCCCGGGGGATACAGGGAGGAGTATAGCGCGTTCGCCTATGGTTGAGTTAGCAATTGATAGCACGGCACGATGATAAAGATTGACCGTTCCAAATGGCAGGATGAACAATTCCCATCTGGCTGATCCTTTTCCTTCATCATTTGCACTTCCTTGCAGACCTTCAATGAGCTCATGTGTCGTCCCATCGCCACCGACGACGATCACTCTAATCGGGTCCAGAGTCCCGGCCGCCTGGTGGGCTGACAAGATAGCAAGTCCGAGATCCCCTGCGTGCGCTGGTGCTTCAGTAGTGTGAATCTGGAAGGGGACATTGAGATGATCGAGGAGGGGTGCGACATGGTTGTCGATGACTATCTCAAAGTCAGCTTGGCCGGGTTTGGTGGCACAGAGACGTACACTGTGGCCCATTGCCAGCGCCCGCGGCGGGGTTGACGATGATGTGGAGCGGTGAGGACATGGATCGTGTTCTGGAAGGAGGGAAATTGTTGAGATGCAAAAGAGAGATGAGGATGCGAATTGGGAACGTCTTATGCTTGTCTTATGCTTCCTTGCGTGCTTGGCCTTCAGCCCGTCGGCCCGGAACCAAATCGCGATTCCTGAAAGAGTTTACAAAAACTAATCCTCCCTTTCTTTGCAGGAACATCTCTTTCGTCGCTGGATAAGACTGGATGTGACAGCCACCACACTCCTGCTGTCCTGCAACATCATGAGCATTCCGATGGAGTTGAGCAAAAAGTTTGAACAAAAACGACGGCACCCGGGATTCCCAGGTGGTCCCCCACCCTGGTACTAACCGAGCGCTCTCCTAGTTGACTTCGCGGATCAGACGGGACGCGGTACTTTGAGGAGGCTATGGCCGTCGATACTGAATAACAAATGCTATAAGTCTCTACATGTTCCGACACTGGAGCGCTGTGCTGCTATTTTACCTCCACGGTCTTCCGACCACCCGGGTGTCAAATGTTGGCAACAAGTGGTAGCACGGCCATTCATAAAGAATCATGCTCTGCACGGCATGCGCACTCTATCTTTCCCGCCCTCCTCATCCCTTCCTTCACAAACCAAGAACCAGGAGTGGTGTCGTCGTCTTCTTCTTTCAACGTTGGCCCTATTGGCCCTGCTACTTCCTCTCGTGGAGATACCCAACGAAACCGTGGCGACTACTTGAGACAAGAGGATAGACCCCACTATGACAGCGAAGAAGATATCACGATGGATCTCCAACTAAGTCGAAGATCCGACCAGACGGTGGTTATCCCTCCCACTGTTCTTCCTGCCGGTACACGCCTGCCACCACCCGGCTACCCAGCTAACGTCAGAGGCGATACTTACTGCCACAACCAGGCTTTGAATCCCGATACCGGTATCGACCCCATGACGCCCGAGGTTGAACGACAGACGTTTTGGAATAAGACTTTTCCTTTCAGCTGTGGTAGATCGTAGAGTAGATGCGAGACCAATGATCTGAGCGACATATATGGACCCAGAGGCAGACATGGAAAGGATCATCCCAGGGGCTGTCTTAGGTGTACGTTGTCATACTAAGATGCATATCAAATACTTTGACTGTCTTTCGCCGCGAACAATGATATGAAATGAAATAGTGGGACGAATGGTATCAGTGTTTTTCTGAATGTTGCCTACATGTATCAGTAAGCCCACATCGCTAGCCAAGCCGTCTCCTCCAGATACGTATCCAGCTCTGGCACGTCTTCTATCTGATGTATGATGGGCGGCGTAGTGGATGCGAAGCGACCGAATAATACGGACAATGAGTCTTTACATTTCTCTAGATCCATCACAGGACCATGAACGATCAAGCCCAACCAGATATAGCCCCCATGACATCTACCAATCTAGAAAGCATCACACCCCTTCCTCCGACACAACACTCTCCTTCTCCCGATAGAGATCTCTCGCCTCCTTCTCCAAATCTAAACCCCCACCCATCAGCAATCTCCTCTCCCACCATCCTGTCCAGTGGATAAGAAGGAAACTCACACTTTGCACAATCCCTCTTGGCTGTATCCGGATTCACCAAGCACAACAACAGCACCCCCGCGAGACCCGAAAACACCAAGAACCAGAAACATGCCGAAGTGTTACCACCGGCGTCGTCGATGATGGCGGAGGCGATGAATGGGCCTACGAAGGCCGACGTTTTCTATACCTTTGTCAGCAGCTGATCCTGTAGTTGGGCGTTGGGCGGCGGGATGTGAGGTGGTAGGGGGGAGAAGGAAGAAGAGGACTCACGCCAACGATTTGGAACAGCGCAAAGAAGAGATACATCTTTGGCGCGGGGACAACCTCGGGTATCATCGTATTCGAGTACGTATACCACCCTCCAACACTGCTCTTCATCAGCAACCGGGTACCCTCTTAGAACAAGATCAATGAACGTACGCTAGACCGAGATATGCCTGCCAAGCGTAGAATTCCCAAGCTGGTTGTTTTGTCAGCGACCTTTCCAGACATTTGAACGTGATGAAGTGGGAAAGCGCACCGTTATGATATCCAATCTTTGTCGTCCACAATCCCAACAAACCCCAGAAATTACTATACCCCACCATCAGCCTTCTACCCACCTTGTCCTTCTCTTGTACATAGCAGGCAAGAGCGATAAAACTCACAAGAATACGATAGCTCCTCCAGTGACGATAGTCATGAGCTTTGCCGACAATCCCCACCTCTGCTGCACCCAGTTCATCACAAAGATCCCGATGGCTTCGGAACCGAAAGCGACCATGTAGAGCCCGACGGACTTCTTGGTGTCGAATTGAATTACGCTGGATCCGGTCGTCAGTGAGGAAGAAAAAGGAGGTTTGGATGTGGGAAGAGGGGAAAGCAGGGAAAAGACGAGAAGGACGTACTTGTTTTGGAGGATACCGATCACGGAGCCGCTTGTATTCAGCGCTACAGAATCCAAAAGTTAGCTCCCCTCCCCTCCCTCAAAGAACAACATCGAACGGACCATCATTCAGCAAAAAGAACGCTGCCAGATAAAGCATCGTCTCCCTCAACTGCCACGCACACTTGCACCCCTCCCAAACCTGCCTCCCCCCGACCGTCCACCACCCCACCCCGCGCGGCACCTTCTGCCCGGGCCTGTACTGCTCTTTCCAGAACCACGGGACGGCACAGATGACCCAGAAGGCGGTAAAGTACCCGACGAGGATGGAGTATGTTTTGGTGTTTTGGGTGGTGTAGGAGGGGTCGGAGGAGGAGGAGGGGATGAGGGAGAAGGGGATGGAGAGGCCGAGGGCGAGGATGAGGGTGGCGCCGGCGGCGGAGAAGATGAGGGAGAGGTTGGACAGCTAGGATCTTTGTCAGCCTTTTGTCGATCATCGAGGGGAGGGGAGGGCAGGGGGAGGGGTGGACGTACCTTGGATCGTTCGAGCATATCCAACTTTGTATGCTCTTCCGCATCTTTCCGCCCTTCCAACACTTCTCGCTCACTCTCGATGACCTTTGGCATATCACGTACGAGGCCGGGGAAGGCGGCAAAGTAGAATCCGACTGCTACATTGAATGCTACATTATCGGTCAGATGGTAGTATAGTAGATAAGCGCAAAGAAATTGGACGTACAGAAGTATCCCAGCATGTAAACGGCCGTAGCAGCTTTCCACTTCTCTGCGCTCTCTATACCCAGCCACGCGAAACCGGCCGCCCAGCTGATTAACGTGAAGACTGCCCTCCTTCAGCATCAGCTTTTGTCTTCTCGCCCAACAGAGAAAGAGGAAGAAGAGAGACGCACAGATGAGGATGTAGGGCCGCCAATTGCCATAATCCGAGTAAGGCCCAATGAGCAAGAAACAGAGCGTCTGGATGGCGAATGTGATTCCGTTGATATCCAAGATGAACGCATCCACTACACACCGGAATTAAGCCTTTCCCGTACAAGTATCAGATGTAGAGAAGAAGAAGAAGGAGATGAACGTACAAGTCTTGGTACTCCCCGCCCACCTGATAGTCTCATCCGGGAAAGCCTGGTACAAGAGATTCTGGAACTGCGCTGATGCAAAGTTGAACGGTCCTACGCCGCTGGCTCCTATATCTAAACTCTGCCCATGAGCTCTTACCATCCGTCTCATGCCCTACCGAAAGAAGACGTACAGAAGATACAGTACCCCCAATATTCCCACTTTGTCGTCACTTTCCGCTCGCCCGTGAGCGGGATCGCGCGGCCCTGCTCGAGGTAGGCTAGGCCTGCTGGTAGGTTTTGAGAGAGGGAGGCAGAGGCAGAGGTTGGGAGGGTGGGTGGGGTTTGGGAGGGGAGGGGATGGAGGTCGGACTTTTCGGGGTCGGCCGAGGTGGGAGCGGGGTGGGAAGGGGATTGGAGATGGGGAGATGGGGCGGTCATATTTGACGATGGGTGGTCGGATTCTTTGTTGGAGGGTATGTCGAGAAAGAGAAATGACCAGTTGAAAGTCTACTGTCGTCTCGGACGACTAGGATCAGGACCGCTTGATGAAAGACTGTAGGTCTGTATGTAGCGTTAACGTAACGTTGCGAGCGAGATGGAAGACAAGAAGGACTCACCTACCGACAAGTATTATGTACGCCTTTGTCAAGAAGGAGCTTCCATGGAGATGGTTGAGAAAGTCTCAAAGCCAAAGTGAAGGTTCTAGTCGCTCTAATGGGATCGCCCTCAAGGAACAACCGTAATGTCACAAAAAGGTCCCCGCTCGATTCAGGACGGCCTGCCGAGCTAGTGTGGGGTGTGCTGGAGACGCGCAGTTGGGGGACGGACTGAGCGGGGGAAAGCGTTGCGCCGGGGAGAGAAGGGCGGAGGTGGTGGAGGAGAAACTACTGTACAAGGGACTATGGGATAAAGCACGAGGAGCAAGATGATAACGACGATACTTGGACGATACGCTTAATTCTCGGATCTACGCGCCCGAGTGGAGGGGGCCGCAGCTGATAATCTCGAGGCACCTGTTGTTTCGTTGTTCTCTTTTTATTCTCTTTTTGTTCTCATCCATCTCTCCAGTCCCCTATCCGCCATCGCCTCTCTCCTCTCATACAACCGCGTGCACCAATCCCCACTTTTTCATGGCCAAAGCAGGTCCCTCTACGCAGACGGGGGGATCGTTCGCTGTCTCGCAACCGTGAGCACCTGGGTACTGTGTGTCGACCACTTTCTAATCGTCATTCAGAGTGAACACAATCCCTGCCGCTATCGATTCGCTCTCCTAAATCATTAACAACTACGGCAGTGACGGCAGTGACGACGACACTGTCCCGCAACCGTGAGCACCTAGGTACTGTCTGTGTTGATCACTTTCTAACCGTCGCTCAGAGGAATCGACTCGCTCGCTCTATCAATTGGCTCTCAAGAAGACTGCACCCCGCGCGGGATCAAAGACTTCCACGCGGTCGTCTCTCATCTCGTCTTTCTGCCTCCTCTCGCATGGTTGGAGTGGATCTAGTGAAGGCGCGAGCGAGGACGTCGTGGATGTGAGGGGAAGGGAGTACTTAGAGGCAAGAAGGCATTGACTTCGTTGTCGTCGTCGATATGGCTCTCCCGCGACATTCAGTTCTATGTACACAGGACGTTTATGTACGCGGGACTTCAGTTAGCTTGTGTCGAGCCAGCGATATGATGGCGCGACTGCCTTTTTCCTTTTTCATTCATCAACACAATCGTCTCACATAGCGCCAATGAGCTCTATAATCTCCATGTACCTCTCTTCACCCCATTATGACCTCCATACCTCGCAGCTTGTTGTGGGCCTTCGACTTCTGCTTACGCACAAAGTTGTTTGGGATCACGCGCCAGAGGTGCAAGCGTCGTGTCAGTCATGTATCCAGATGAATTTTGACGCGGTAGAGAGGGATCACGATCTATACCAACTCGTCATGGGATGTTTGCCGCCCGCCGCCCTTTGCTGTCTGAACCTCCATTGGATGACTTGGGCCGCATGGCTCTTGAGTGTCCCGCTTGCGAGGCTTTGCACTGGGCAGACCAGAAAACTGATTCTTTCCTGCCTTCTTCGCAATGCTGTGGCTATGGCACTGTTGATTTCACCATGACTTCCAACCTGGAGTTCCTCTTCTCAAGATCCAAGGTCAGCTTTCTCTCTTGATTGGCTCTTTCCTTCCCTCCAGCGATAAGACTCCCCATGTTTTCCTTCAGGTTTGCCGCTCTGGCAATTGAGAGGCTGACAAGATTCTCTAACGATCTCAGACGGGAGGTGGTCACTCGCTCATTATCAACACCGTCTCCGCCCTATCCCGTATGTTGGACAGGGAGAACCTTTGCCTAGCAGAATACGACACGACTCCCAGCTTCCTTATCAAAGCGGTGGAATCCATCGTGAGGGAGTTTGTCGGTACAATTGACCTAGGGCATCTGAGGTTGGCATCATCATCCCTACCGGCCAAGGTTTAGTTGTCAAGCGCAATATCATCATCCAAGGGGCGACTGGCTCTATGCGTCATATTTCGGAAGCGCATGGCGCCTACCTTCAATGCAATATGTCTTATGTCTTAATTCTTGCCAATGGGAAATTTGGTTGGTCCGATGGTACTGTATGCCTGCGACCCTCTTCATAATCATCCCAACACTCTTCGTCCCCTCAGTGAGCTGCTTTTCCCTATCGTTTACCATTGTCTTGCTGTTGCTTACCACCTTCTTAGCACCTCAACAAGAGAAAGATAGCATGTCTCCCAGGGATTGGCACTCCTTCCACCTACACATCCGCCTGCATTGCTCCCAGTGTGGGGTATGAAGAATGGGTTTTGACCATCACTGTCCCTTTGTACGTGCCATATCCCGCATAACATAAATAAAGTCTTCGTACTCTGACACCTCACTCAAAGTTTGCCAACTGCCTGACTGCCCCTTCCTTCCCCGCCTTCCTCGCCCTCCTGCTCTACACCCCCCCAATCCATCCTCCTCTCGGCGCCGGTCTACCCTCGCCTCCTGCGGCGCGCCTTGGCAGTGTACCATCTCGCGTGCGTCTCCGACTCGGGCGTGATCAAGGGGTGCTGGACTGGCCTTGGAGCTGGCTCGTCGCTGGCGGGCCGGTTGGGCAGTGGGTAGGGGGCATGGTGTTGAGGTGGATGGAGTTGGATTGGATGGGCGTTGGCGTTGGTGGGCCTGGGATCAAGAGGCTGGGAGTGGGGGTGATGGTTGGTGGTGGGATTGTGTTGGGACTGATCACATCGATATGCCCCGCCCCCGCCCCGTTTACGAGACCTCGGATTGGCTGGCTGATGATACATACTACAGAGGCTAGCATACTGGACGCTACAGGCCATCAAGAAAGGCGACCTCAATATCGACATTGAACGAAACCCGGGAGGCTCTGCCAAGAGGGTTAATTATTAAGGACGGTCTGGCACCTAGCAACATTGGAGTCAAGTCGAAACTTTCAGCATCATATGACAGCGGCCCCCGCTACATGCAAAAGAATTATCAAGATAGCATGGCCTTGGTGCGATATTTCGGCTCCCCAACGTTGTTCATCGCCATGACCTGTAACCCTGATTGGAAGGAGATCGTTGATGAATTGCTGGAGCTTGACCCTCTTTCTTTCCTGACCTGGTCGCTCGCGTGTTTGACTTTGGGATGAAAATGAACCGCCTCAGCCCTTTCCTTATCCTGTGCCAAAATATGTACCCGTTTTTCATGCAACAATCACATGTTCGGTTTTGAGTCCAGCCGGGGTGATCATTTCAATGCATACGGACGTAATTCTTTCCCTCCTCTGTGAGAATTGAACTTGGACCATCTTTCATGCAGTGGATACAAACATGACTCCGAAAACCGGCAATTAACATTTTTTCTAATTGATGGACTGATAATGCGCGGGAACGCCGCGCGATGAACGCTAGTCGTTGTTACTCCGCGCACGCGCCTGTTTGTTTCGTTGTTCTCTTTTCATTCTCTTTTCATTCTCTTTTTGTTCTCTTTCTGTTCTCATCCATCCCCATATCCGCCATCGCCTCTATCCTCTCATACAACCGCGTTCACCAATCGCCACCTCTCCATGGCCGACGCAGGCCCCTCTACGAACACAGGGCAACCAACCCCTGCCCCGCGACTGTGAGCACCTGGGTACTGTGTGTGTTGATCATTTTCTAATCGTCGCTCAGAGTGAACATAATCCCTGCCGCTATCGATTCGCTCTCCTAAATCATTAACAACTACGGCAGTGACGGCAGTGACGGCAGTGACGACGACACTGTCCCGCAACCGTGAGCACCTAGGTACAGTCTGTGTTTGTCACTTTCTAACCGTCGCTCAGAGAGAATCGACTCGCTCGCTCTATCAATTGGCCCTCAAGGACACTTCACCCCACGCGGGATCAAAGACTTCTGCACGGTCGTCTCACATCTCGTCTTTCTGGCTCCTCTCGCATGTCATCCCATCCATACACACTCAGGATGAACCAGCAGACGCCCCTCTCCTCCTTCCTGCCCTCCTATGACCCTCCGCTGTATCTCATATCCACCATCCCGCCTGCCTGCATCCCCACTAGTATGTCCAACGCCCTCGAGCGCATCACCTTCGGTCCCAGGCATTTCTACGACAAGGAGAGGGAGGCGGAAGCTACCGATCTCAGCCAGGTCGATCGACACGCATCTCTCGACATGGGAGGTCCGGCGGATCGAACCACCGACGAACATGAAGTGACGAGCGATCCGTTGACGACGCGCAAGCGGGCTGCCGAGGCGGGTCCATTGACTTCTCGTACTTCCCCAACAAAGCGGCTCAAGGTCAAGAAATCGTCTCCACAAAAGAAATCGTCTCCACAAAAGAAATCGTCTCCACAAAAGAAAAAGCTCGACGCCTCGGCTAAACGGACCGACTCGAGCAGTCAACGCAAGCCCGATTCGGGTACCGCCCTGCGCTTTTGGCAGATCCTCAAACATTTTACGTGAGGGACTTTTGCTTTTCTTTGACGAGTGATAGCTGATGAACCGCACGTCAGATTTCGATACGATTCCGAGGTTGTCCCTCGACTGGTCCGAGGCCTGATAACGGTCGTCAGCGACCTTACTGCTTTAAATTTGGACGAATCGCAGGCGCTCAACGAGCTCGTTCAGTTCCTCTTTCAACTCGAAAACAGGCACTCGGTCTTCCTTCCCGAGCCATTGAGGCAATTCGAGCGGGGCGACCACTCATACGATTTTGACACTTATGAGCGCCGGGACAAGAAGGAGGGGAGCGATGTCGTTTGGCTGGTAGGCTATGGCGGGAAGGAAGAAGGGTCGACAGCGTTGGCGTTCTCGGGTGAATGTCAAGCGGCCAACATTTACGCCAAACACCTCTCTCGTCTCGCGGCCAATGACTCGTCGATTTCGTCTCAGCTAGAGAGTTGTATCTATCAGTACGCCCCGCCGGTGAAATCTGGCGTCCTGGACCTCGCTGCTCGGCCTGATCGGGACTCGGACGCGAAGAAGGGGCAGTACCAAGTGACCATCTCGACCAAGCTCGGCATCGAACACAAGTTCCACATAACGCTGAGGGACCTGTTCGTGCTCTTCTACGTCCTGTTGCGCAAGGATATCAAGATCAAGGTCGACCCCTCGACCGGCACGTCCGTTGAAGGATCGGAAGCAAAGAAAATGTTGTCCACTGCTCTCATCAACATTCTCGCTCAGGTCAGTCTCATGCCTTCCCCCGCTTTTCGCATGTTTGCGAGGCTGATTACAATGGATGTAGTTGGCACAAGACTTCCACGTCAACCGATGCGAATATATCAACTTGGCCGTCCACGACTTCAGCGTCACTTTCCAGCTCATGGGCCGCAACATCGCTCACGTCTCGCGCATCGTCTTCCGCGATCCCGCCACTGCCAGGCGGGACATCCTCCCCCGGGACGAGCTCACCAAAATCTTGTCCGGTATACAACCCGAGACGGATAGGGACGCGGCTGTCCGGATGCTGTTGGAGCTCGAGCCTTGGGAGACGGTCGCGAAGCATAGCCTCTTTGCTGTGCTTGTGGCCGGTCTGGTTTTGCCGGTTGGCGAGGACACTAAGTCAATGTGGATAGATGGAGATAAAGAGGGTTTGGGTGAGCCGCTGGACACGAGTGCGACTGGCCCCACCAGCGAGGTTCCAACACCACAAGGCTGGACGGCGGGTTCGTCGACGACGACGACCACGACTGATACGCCTCAGTCTGGTTCTACGGCTACCGGTGGCACAGCCTTCAAGATGTTCCCCTGTCCGGCCGTTGCTGCAGATTTGCATTGTCTCCAGGGCATCGACACGACCCATCATCAGTCCATGTACCGCTTGCCGTATTTCCGCTGGGTAGAAGATCCAACATTTTGCGTCCAGGTGTCTCGGGGCAAGACCCGCTTGTCGGATGTCAGCGATAACTCGGCTTCTTCCGGCTCTCAGTCCACCCCTTCTCTCACGACCGACGAGTCGGGCACACCGCCTTCATCTCCCGTTGGTCCCACCTCTCCTACGACAGCCACGTCCGTGGGCTCCGTCGTCTCTACCACGGGAGACGAGAAATCAATCAGGCGGGAGCCCGAGGACTTGAACGAGGAAGACTTGAACGAGCTACTGCGCAAGACCGACCATCAGACCGTTCTGTCCCTCTTGTCACGCCCAGACTTGTCGGTCGAACTGCACGAGTACCTAGGTTCCGGGAGATTATGGGATGCCTACCGCGTCAAACTCTCCTCTGGCTCGACACCGTCACCGCCACAGATCGTCGTGGCAAAGATCTGTAATCTGTACACTTTCACGCTGGGCGACGGGTACGAATACGAGACCCCCTCGGCGGCGGCCGACGCAATCAAGACTGAGCTCGACTTGTTGAACCACTTACAAGCGGTCCAGGGGGAGATCGTCCCCCGATTGTACGGACGATGGACGGGCAGGTGTCAGTTGCCCAGTGGCGGGACGGTGCGCTTGGATTGTGTCATGTTGGAAGACTGTGGGAGGGCCATCGTCCCGTCTCACAAACTTGAAACCTGGTCAGTCCTGGTTGCTCATTCCCTCACTTGACTTGGGAAAATTGCTGATTGTTTTTGATCCTAGGTTATACGATGGCGACGAGGTGGAGAGGTTCCCGACCAATTTGTCATCCGATGTCCGGTACGTGGCTTGACCCTGACCCAGGCTTCCGACACTTGGCCTGACTACCCGTCGCAGACAGCAGATCATAGAAAGCTATGAGAGGCTACACAAACAAGGGATCTTGCACGTCGACGTCAACGCCCGACATATCCTTCTTCATCCGGTTGATAAGAAACCACGAATCATCGATTTCGAGGGCGCGATATCTATCTCCGAGGCCCAAGCAACGAACCAAGACTATGACGCGGAGCAAGAGATGGAGAGGGTTCGGTGGTTGGTCCGCGCGGACGAGGAGTATTGAGTGCCTCAGGTGTTTCCACTGTGTGGAATGTAGTAGAATGTTGTTACTTGTATGAACTCGTTATCTGTATTATTTGCCCATGTGAGAGCATTCAGCCCTGGGGAGGTCAGCTCTGTGTAACGTGGGTGTCGGCGGCGGGAGCAAGCCCGCGTCGGTTGGCTCGGTCGGCACTATCCAGACGATTTCTCCACAACGGCTCAATTGATCTGTATGCATAAAGCTCGAGGGCATTTCTGAGAAGGTCCCCTATCTTCTAGGCACATCGCGAAGTATGCATGCGTTGATTTGAATGTACAATGGGGAGAACTCGCCAATTTATTGGGTCGCGAATGTTGACTGGCTTTTTCATTCATCGACACTCATGCATATTCGTCTTAGAATTTCTTGTCATACCAACCATCCTATAGGGCCGAGCCATAGCGTCCTTGCAATACTTGTCGCACTACTGACTGTGACCTGTAGCATGCGCAATGCTCGGTCAAAGCTGACACCTCCTCTTTTGGCCGGTGTGCTTTGCGGTCGACCTCCACCAGGCCCCCAGACGCGACACCGCGCTTTTTACTGAGACTTTTTCTCAACACTTTTATCCTAATGCATTAAAAGAAATTTCCTATTGAGCTCATTACAACCGGGGACTTGGCAGAACTCGCCGACGGCTTCGTTCAGCTTCTCACTCCTTCTCTTCCTCTTTACTACATTACCTGCCTACAACCTTCCAGACGCCCATCTCGCCTCAATGTCCAACTCTGAAGACGTCCACATTCCCGCCGGCGTACTAGCCAACGCTCTATACAGCCTTCCCAATCCGGACGAGACCGACGACTTGGAGGAGGAAGGCACCAGTCACGAAAGAGCTGAAAATGAGCACAGGGGGGCTACTCCGGGTACCCCGGACGGCTATACGTTTCAGGGCGCCTGAAACTGACAAAATACCTTCCCTTCTTTCAGGATCCCGTCTCATCCGAAATCCAAATCAAATAGACTCCATTCGACAAGTGGACGCGAGCACGCCATTTGAGATCTTGAAGAGCCCTGCATTCGAGGATGGCGGCGGCGTTGAGGAGAAGGTGGTTGGTGTTGAAGCCGGCACGGACGAGTTGTATGAACGGGAACTATTGCCACGGTGTCAGCTTGGTCGAACAGGTGAAGAGTCGGACGTACGTCGTTGCACAGCTCAACAAGCTGCTTATCAGCCTTACTCAGCCTACCCTGCTTCACCCTATCCCTAAACCCCTCGATATCCGCCACAGTATCTGGAAGATCTCAATGATCAGATCATGCGGTACACCGTTCGCACACATGATGTTGATAAATTGCCGGTTCAGGAAGGCGACTTGGTATTTTTGGCGATGCGGATGACATTCAAGTCGTCGAGGTCGGCAGTGATTTTGATAAGCGAGGGACGGAGGCGGATCTCTTCGTCCCCGACGAGTTGTGGCCAGTTGGCCAGGACGCCCTTGGCACCGCTGCTGAGAGTAAACACGTGATGCGACAGGTGAAGAGTGGACGTACCCGAGACGGAATTGGATGACAGAAGGATTCAAGTTCAGACCCTGCCTCTCGTGCAACACCAGCTTCCCCGCAATTCCCACGCCGTCTGTAAAGATACGACCATTTCTTTTGATATCAGGAAGTTCCCCGGCGATGTTGATCTACCATGTCTAGACCGACAGGTGGTATGACCAGCCGGCTGTAGTCACAACTTGGCCCGTATACCATGCTTGCGCTACTTGAACAATGTTGAAGAGTAGATTGTCATGGGCAGTGGCGTAGGCTGCGGCGAGACCATTCGCTGAGGACAACGTAGCCAGATGAGAATAGGATGCTGGTATCGAATTTGCGGTCTTGGAAGAGCAAATGTTCGACGATTCTGGGGTAGTTGAGGGCAAAGGGACAAGCTATAAAATATGAGCACTCGTTTCATCCGCATACAGCGTAGCTTACCAAATGCGTTGTTGTTGACTTCTTGGTCATGCAAGAATATCGAGCGATATATCTGTCGCATCTGTCATTTCGCCTTTTTCCACAGCCGTGGATCAAGCTGTAGCAGCTAATCTATCCTTTTGATCTCTTGCGATTTTCCTAGTATCTTGCCATTCACGAGATCATTCAAATCTGGTGCCAGAGGGGTTCCAGGAGCCGCGGGAGGAAGAACTATTTTCTCAAAGAGGGCGTTTGCGAGCAGGCGTTTATCGTCGCCTGCGATGATGGACGCTCGTATGTCGATTACCATTCGATCAAGACGGCGACTACCTCTTCTCTAAAGAGATCTGCGGCGGGGCGCAGATACGGCGGCGTCCACTTGATGGATCATGTTGGCGGCATGGAATGCCACTACTGAATTTGGCGATGCCAGTATGACTAGATGTTGATCATCGGTGCGGTAGGGTCGCCACAGTCACAGCATGCCGAGAAGGAGAAGGATTGACTAAAGAGAACTTGGTGGCCTTCATGATCCCCTGCCTTGAAGCAATCGACGCGTACCCGGGCCCAAGGTTAATAACAGCAGACTGTGGACGCTACAGTGTCAGGAGTTGTTTGCCAGTGCACCAGATGTGACTCACTTGCAGGTATATGTCCTCTCATGCCTCTCCAAGACCTTGCCGAACATTGGACGCCAGTTGGACGCACACTGCAACTGTCCCAACAGGTTGCCAGCAGGTCCCCGGCGGCGCGGTAGGATATTTGGTCCCGTTGTGTTACATAACTACGCACGTACTTGACTGGAAGTGACTGGATGCAACAATATTACGTCTCACTGCATCTCTTCTACTTCTCTCTCATCTCATCTCATCCATACACACTCAGGATGAACCAGCAGACGCCCCTCTCCTTGGTCGTGAACTCCTCTGACCCTCCGCTCTATCGCTTCTCCACCATCCCGCCCGCCTGCATCCCCACTAGTATCGACAACGCCCTCGAGCGTCATCTTCGGTCCGAGGCATTTCTACAACAAGGAGAAGGAGGCAGAAGCTACCGATCTCAGCCAGGTCGATCGACACGTATCTCTCGACTTGGGAGGTCCGGCGGATCAAACCACCGACGATCAGGAAGTGACGAGCGATCCGTCGACGACGCCCAAGCCGTCTAAGCCGTCTGTTGAAGCGGGCTCATCGGCTTCTGGTACTCCCCCATCGAAGCGGCCGAGGCTCCAGACTCCGTCTCCTGAAGAGAACAGGCACGCCTCGGCTGAACAGATCAATTCGAGCGGTCAACGCAAGCCCGGCTCGCGTCACGCCAGGCGCTTTTGGCAGATCCTCAATCCGGACCATGTCTTCACGTGAGGGATCTTTGCTTCTCATCTACGAGTGATAGCTGATGAACCGCACGTAAGATTTCGATACGATCAAGAGGTTGTCCCTCGACTGGTCCGAGGCCTGAGAACGGTCGTCGACGGCCTCACTCCTTCAAGTTTGGACGAATCGCTGGCGCTCCACCAGCTCGTTCAGTTCCTCTTCCTCCTCGAAAACAGGCACTCGGACTTCCTTCCCGAGGCGTTGGCGCGTTTTGAGGAGGGCGACCCCTCGTTCGGGTTTGCCACTTATGAGCAGCGGGACAAGAAGGGAGGGAGCGATCTCGTTCGGCTGGTAGGCTATGGCGGGAGGGAAGAAGAGTCGACAGCGTTGGCGTTCTCAGGCGAATGTCAAGCGGCCAACATTTACGCCAGACACCTCTTTCCTCTCGCGGCCGATCACTTGTCGACTGCGTCTCAGCAAGAGAGTCGTCACTATCAGTACGCCCCGCCGGTGGTTTCTAGCGTCCTGGACCTCGCTGCTCGGCCAGATCCGGACGCGGACGCAGAGGGGGACAAGATCCAAGTGACCACCTCGACCAAGCTCGGCATCCAACGCAAGTTCCGCATTACGCTCCGGGACCTGTTTGTGCTCTTCTACGTCCTCCTGCACAGCCAGATCAAGGTCAAGGTCAACCCCTTGGACGGCAAGCCGTCCGTCGAGGTATCGGAAGAACAACAGGAATTGTTGTCCGATGCTCTCATCGCCATTCTCGCTCAGGTCAGTCTCATGTCTTCCCTCGCTTTTCGTATGTTTGCAAGGCTGATCACAATGGACGTAGTTGGCGCAAGAATTCCACATGAACCGATGCGAATATATCAATCTGGGCGTCCACGACTTCAGCGTCACTTTCCAGCTGAGAGACCGTAACACCGCTCACGTCTCGCGCATTGTCTTCCGCGATCCCGCCACTGCCGAGCGGGACATCCTGTCCAAGGACGAGCTCACCAACATCTTGACCGGTATACAAGACGAGATGAAGAGGAACGCGGCTGTCCGGACGCTGTTGGAGAGCAAGCCTTGGGAGACGGTCGCGCAGCATAGTCTCTTTGCTGTGCTTGTGGCCGGTCTGCTTTTGCCGGTCGGCGAGGGCACTACGTCAATGTGGATGGATATGGAGAACGAGTTTGTCAGTCAGGTGCAGGAGACGAGTGCGACTGGCCTCACCAGCGATACGTCCCAGCCTGGTTTTACGGCTACCGGTGGCACGTCAGCCTTCAAGATGATCCCCTATTCGGCCGTTGCTGCAAAATTGCAATCGTACCAGAGTGTCGACACGACCCATCATCTGCTCATGAAGCGCTTGTCGTGTTTCCGCTGGGAAGAAGATCCAACATTCCGCGTCCAGGTGTCCCCTCCTCTCACGACCGACGAGTCCGTCGTCTCTACCACGGGAGATGAGAAATCAATCAGGCAGGAGCCCGAGGACTTGAACGAGCTACTGCGCAAGCCCGACCATCAGACCGTTCTGTCCCTTTTGTCATGCCCAGACTTGTCGGTCGAATTGCTTCAACACCTAGGTTCCGGGAGATTATGGGACGCCTACTACGTCAAACTCTCCTCTGGTTCGACACCGTCACAGATCGTCGTGGCAAAGATTTGTAATCTGTACACGTTCACGCTGGGCGATGCGTACGAATACGAGACCCCCTCGGCGGCGGCCGAAGCGATCACGACCGAGCTCGACGCGTTGAATGCCTTACAAGCGGTCCAAGGGGAGATCATCCCCCGATTGTATGGACGATGGACGGGCTGGTGTCAGTTGCCCAATGGCGGGAAGGCGCGCTTGGAATGCGTCATGTTGGAAGACTGTGGGACGTCCTTTGACCAGTCTGACGAGCTTGAATACCAGTCAGTCTGCTTGCTCATTCCCTCACTCGACTTGGGGAAATCGCTGATCGTTTTTGATCCTAGCTTATGGTATGACGAGGAGGTGGAGAGGTCCCTGATCGAGAGGCTCCCGGCCGGTTTGTCATCCAATGTCCAGTACGTGGCTTGACCCTTGACCCAGGCTTCCGATACTTGGCCTGACTACCCGTCGCAGACAACAGATCATAGAAAGCTACGAGAGGCTACACAAACAAGGGATCTTGCACGTCGACGTCAACGCCCAACATATCCTTTTTCATCCGGTCGATAACAAACCACGAATCATCGATTTCGATAGCGCGATATCTATTTCCGAGGCCCAAGCAACGAACCAGGACTACGACGCGGAGGCGGAGATGGAGAGGATTCGGTGGATGGTGCACGCGGACGAGGAGCATTGAGTGCTTCATGTATTTCCACTGTGTAGAATGTAGTATAATACTGTTATTTGTATATACGTTTATTATGTGTATTCTTTGCCCTTGTGAGAGCAGTCAGCCCTGGGGAGGTCAAGCTTACGCGTTCCGCTCGGTGTATCGTGAAGCGGGTTGCAGCCCGCGTCGGACTTGGTTATACGTAAACTTGGCTCGGTCGGCACTCCAGACGATTCTTCCACAACGGCTCCTATCGATTCGGCATGCATAAAGCTCGAGGGCATTTCTTGAGACGGTCCTCTATCTTCTAGGTACATGCATACGTCGAATCGGATGTGCAATGAGTCAAAACGCGCCAATTTTGTTCTGGGTCGCGAATGTTGACTTTTTTCATTCATCAAACACTCATGCATACTTCGTCTTTAGATCACATATACTGTAGAATCAACAGATCTGTAGAGAAGAACTATACGATTCCAACGGTACTTGTTCGGTCTTCTCAATCTCATTGTGGCTTGCAGCTTGCTTGCAGCAGGCGCCACGACGCATCAAAACCAGTGCACCGTGTTTTCATCGCTGCGCGTCACTTCCCCCGCCGGCCTCCTCACTCCTCATGCCGCTGGAGCTAAAGTGGGTGTATGCACTGTACTTGTATAGTGCAATGACAAAGACATCTGGACATCTGTACAGATACCGGCGTGGCATAGAGGCTCTCCATAGCATGACAGATCATAATGACTACCATATGTCGCAGGTATGGAACACGGCTCGGTATGGGTTGCCCCCTCTTCCCTCTGTATTCACTCCGAAAGGCAACCGATCTATCAAATCGTCACTGCATATTCTGAGCTTTGCAAGTTCATTTCAGTCTCCCATACGCCCAAGCTGACATGCTCCCAGGTCGACGATCCCAAAACTCTGGCCCGGTGCCCTCAAGTCTCCCACTACTGGAATGCCTTGCTGCAAGACGCCGCCACCTGGCGCTACCACTTTTCCCTGCACCACCTCCCCGACGGCCCCGCATCTCTAGCAGCCCTACTCATGGAACACCACAGGGGCATCGTCCAAAGTGTCGGCACTGAAAAGGAACCTAGGCATGCTGCCAGGCATGCGGTCAAACTCGTCCTCCTCGGCGGCATCCCCTCATCCTCGTGGCACAAGAGTCAGAGCAAGAATAGGAAAAAGCTGGAAGGAGATGTGCAATTTGCCCAGTCGTTGAATCGGCGACGCCCGAGTGTGGCGGCGGGCTTGTCTGCGTCCAGTAACAGGGAAGCGCGTCGCGTTTCTTCTTTGCTGGTGGTGTCATAAGCAAGAGTAGGTGTGCATGAACAATCCAACTATTCCGAGGCCTTCGTTGCCAGCGGCAAGACGGTCGTCGTTGTGAGAAGACTGAGTGCTGCGATGTCGGCTGCAGGCGGGACTGTTGTAACGCCCGTACCATCCCTAGTCATACCGACTGACGTAGTACGTATTTATGTAAAGTATGTACATCTAGCCAAGTAGGATTGCCATCAAGGCCAAAAGAATGTAAGACGGTTGTTGGAATGCACTTGAAAACGACGAGTGCGAAGAGAAGAGATCAGTGAGATTGATAGCATGTGATACCCCCCCTGATGCGCATGTGCAAGCTGATTGACCTGCCCCTGGGGCTAAGACAGTCTCCCAAAACCACGACGTTCGAAAGGCCCATCAGACCAGTCCCAGTCCAAAGCAGGCACAAAGCGAATCCATGTACGTATAGATATGTATCGTTCACCCTTCCAATCCCCATCTGTAAAAACCGACGAGGTCACCGAGCGAACGGCGGAAGACTGCTGAACGACCCACCGTCTTGAAAAGAGGGAGGGGTGCGTTAGTCTATGCCCTTCCGAGCACCTGGAGGTCGTGGAGAATATGCGACACCCAAGCGACTCTATAAGGAGGGGCAGATGAAGAAGAAAAGAGAAAAGAGATGCGACCTTTTCAGTAGTTTGGTGGGGGAGGGGTGACGTGGCATTTTCCGTGTGCCTCCACCGTGGGCATCCACACTTTCTCTCTTTTCTGGCAGACATCTATTTCGCTCGTGACACTGCATCTCTACAATCTATCTTGCTATCCCCCTGTCACTTCGACTCCTGCCAGCGCTTTCCCAGCGCAGCTTCCAGAATCCGCCTCCTGCGCCACCCGTCCCACGGCGCCCTGCGCCGACTCTCTACCACCCCATCCCTCCCCGCTCGCCCCATGCAACGCACAGAGACATACTCGCCCAACTGGTTCGTCCGCGCAGTCACAGTCCCCGGTCCCGACACAGACCTTTGCCTCCACGTCTCCTTTGACAATGCCAAATTCATCTTTGGCGCGGGAGAGGGGACGCAGAGGGCTTATGCGCAGAAGAAGATTGGGTTCAGCAGGTTGGCCGGGGTGTTTGTGAACAGCGGAGAGTCAAAGGGGCGGGGTGGATTGCCTGGTAAGCTGAATGGTATTTTTCTCGAGCTGTGCTAATATCTTATAGGCATCATCATGTCTGTAGCAGACGCTGGCATCAAGACCATCAACGTCGTCGGACCGCCCGATCTTACCCAGTACATTGGCACCCTACGGTCTTCTGTTATTAGGCAAGTCCACCAATTCGACGTTATCACCATCTAATTCGTCCCACAGAGACTCCCTCACCCTCAACGCCTCCCCATACCCACGCGATGCCCAACCCGGTACACCCGTCAACCTCTTCACCTCCCCCAACATGACCGTCCGCTCCATCGCCCTCTTCCCCCCAACTCCTCCCCACCAACGCTCCCCTCCAACTTACGACCCCTACACCCCCCTCGGTCCCGTATTCCGTCCCTCCCGCCTCTCCCCGGTGGACCTCCAGAAATGGTGCCACCAAGTCGTCTCCGACATGTTCCAGAACAACACCACCGCCCGTCTCTCCCAACGTGCCCCCAGCCCACCCTTTTCCCCGGGGGCCAAGACGAGATCCGAATGGGCCAGCGCAAACGTCCTTCTCTCCCCAGACGGCACCATCAACGCCGCCCGGCCCGATACCCGTGCCCCACTCCCAACGCCCAGCGAGACAGACGTCAACACGCAAATGGTCTACATCCTCGAAACGCCAGATGTCAGGGGAAAGTTTGACAACAAGAAAGCGGTTGAGCTCGGTGTACCGAATGGACCGCTGAGAGGCAAGTTGACGAGGGGGGAGGTGATAGAGTTTCCAGACCCGGAGATGGAGGGTGTTTTGAAGACTGTGAGGCCGGAGGAATGTCTCATGGGCGGGGGGCCTGGGGCGGTCATGATCATGGTCAGTTGTACGCTCAAGACTTTGCCTGATCTACTCCGGAACAAGACTTTTACCGAGTATCAACCTCTGCGAGAAACGCCTGGGGAGAGCGCGAGAAAGGTGCATCTGATGGTCCATCGGATACCGAGGGAAGTTTTGGCGGATGAGGGGTACAAGGAATGGATGCGAGCTTTCGGCCCAGAGACTCAGGTATGCCTCTCACAACACATGACTTTTTATCAAAGCTGATAGAGTGCAGCATCTCATAGCAGACACCACCCCAACCACCTCCCAAACAGTATTCAACTCTGCCGCCTGGGCAACGCTCAGCCTCTCCCACCTCGACTCTTCCATATTCCACCCTCCCCTCCTCCATCCCACCCCTACCCCTTCTTCCTCCCTTTCACTCTCACCCTCGCTCGCGGGCTTTTTGGACCTACCGCCCAAAACCAAAATCCTCGAACCCAACCATTTATGCAGGATGCACCCCTTATCGGACATGACTGAATTCCGATGGCACGAGAAGGATGTACCCTTCACCATTGGGCCGGAAGAAGTTCAGGAGAAGGCGAGGGAAAGGGTTGAGGCAGAGTACCCCGAATATGCGGAAGCTTGCAGAAAGGCGCAAGACGCCGTGAGGGCGGATCCTCGGTCGAACGAGGTGCAGGGTGGAGAACCCGGAGATGACCTTGTGATCACCACCCTCGGTACCGGATCTGCCATTCCATCGAAATACCGCAACGTCTCTTCCACCCTCCTCACCATCCCTCCCCCACCCACCGCGCCCGACTCTCCGGCCCAGTCGATACTCCTCGATGCTGGGGAAGGTACCCTCGGCCAGCTGAGGAGGAGATTTGGGAAAGAAGGCGAGTTGGAGGGAGTGTTGAGAGAGTTGAAAGCGGTGTTTGTGAGTCATATGCATGCGGATCATCATTTGGGGGTGAATGCCATTTTGGAGGAACGATTCAGAGTACGTCCCCCCTCTTCTCCTTCCTTTGCTGCTCGTGAGGTACTGATGGAAAGAGCAGATGGGCATCACCACCCCTCTCTATGTTATCGCTCCTCAATTGATTGCGCTCAATTTGAGAGAAACGGCGACTTGGCAATCTGCAGCTTCAGATGAAGGTCTCAGGAATGTCAAGTTTATCTCTATAGAAAGACTGGGGGAGAGGGTGGCGTTGGGAGATGAGTTGGAATATGTCGGGCGTCCGACCTCTTTTGCTGTAGAGCCCTCGCCCTCGAGCCATTCGCTTGCAGGGGCCACATCACCTTCGGTCTCTCCTACTAGACTTGCCAGGAGAGATAAAGAACGCTCAGCGTCTTTGGAGAGGAAGCCAAAGGAGTACGGGAACAAGATCACTTGGCCATTCGAATCTATATTCGGTCATTCTGCCGCTCTGTACGTCACCTTTCTTCATCCCCCTTTCATTCCACTTGCTAACAACGTCCACAGGGCCACAACCCAACACGCCAACATCCAATCCTTCCTCTCCTCCCTCTCCCTCACTTCCCTCCACGCTCCTCGCGTATGGCACCGCGGCCGCGCGTTCGGCCTCGTCCTCCAACACTCCTCTGGCTGGAAGCTCGTCTATTCTGGCGACACCAAACCTTGTGCGCCATTGGTAGAAGCGGGGAAGGGAGCGACGATTCTGATACATGAAGCGACGTTGGAGGATGATAAGCCGGAGGTGGCGGCTGTGAAGGGGCATAGTACGTTTGGGCAGGCTGTGGATGTTGGAAAGCAGTAAGTACTTCTTCTTTTCTCGGTGAGGGAAGCATTGAGTAGAAGGCTGATGGGAAGAGCAGGATGGGAGCAAAGTATATCTTGCTCAATCACTTTTCGCAACGGTATCCGAAACTTCCAAAGATGCCTGGGGTGGTGCCTCTGGCTGTGGCGGAAGAAGCGAGCGAGTCTGCTCGTCTGAAAAGGGAGGAAAGTGTCCCGGAGGGGATCTTGAAAGAAGCTTCTATCGAGGAGGACGTCCCTGAAAACTCTTCGACCGAGACCCTGGCGCCTCTCCCAGAGAACGTCGGCCTCGAGGCATCTTCCGAGGCTAGCGATCCGCCCGTCCTTCCATCCGTAACCCCGACTGCCCCCACCACTGACGACACCTCCTCACATCTACCCCCGCCCTCAACTGCCCCACCCCACGTTTCCATCTCATTCGACTTTATGTCTCTCCGTCTCGCCGACATGTGGAAGATGCCCTACTACATGGACGCACTTTCGATCCTGTTTGCCGAGCCTGAAGAGGCAGAGGTAGAAGATGGGGCGGGTAGTGTCGTAGAGGGCAAGGCGAATGGGGCTGGGACTGGTGAACAGGGAGGTGCGACGGGGACGGGGAAGGGAAAGAAGGCGGAGAAGAGGGAGAAGAAGCAAGCGCAGAAAGCTGCTGAAGGAGAAGCCAAGATTCAAGGCCCGGGACAGGGGCAGAGGGGAGAAGTCAAGTCGAAAAGGGCGTTAAAAAAGGAATTGGCCAATGCCCAGAAAGAGAAGCAGGCGCGCAAGTCGGGTGAGGGAAGGAGGGAGAAGGGGACCTTGACAGAGTCGGAGCTGGCTGTTGAGAGTCTTGTCGTGGAGGATGTCGTTGTTGAAGAGGCCGTCGTCAATGAGGTCGACGCGAAGGCGATGGGTGCGATGGAGATAGAGGAGAAGGAGGCGGTGGAGGCAGTTGGCGAGAAGAGGGCTGGTAGTCCGAGCATCGAGGAGCCAGAGGCGAAGAGGAGATCTGTCGATGATCAATAGACAAATCCGTCTCTCATACTAATGTCTCACATCCCATCATCATTACAATTACTTATGCATTACCAACGTCACTCATGCTCCAACCCACTTACGATTCTGGTAAGATTCTAGACTGGCCTCGAGGGGGTGATTGGGATGATCTACCACACACCGTCGTTTCGGTACGACCTCTGTAGTACTACCCGAGCCATTTGCAGCTGTCTCTGGATTATCATCATCATCATTGATTTGCTTCCATGTATTGGGCGTTACTCGTGTCATTACATGAAAACTTCTATAGCTAGCTTTCACCGCCCCCGGTCCAAGTACCGGCAAAAGGGAGATAATACAACACTCTATACTTAAAGCTACAAAAGACTAAATCCGTCTATCTCGTCCTCCCTTGTTCTATTACACAACCCTTTCCATCATAACCTTCTTCCTTGCAATCCAGTTCAATACCCCCGCCCCGCCATCGGCATTCCATAATCCATCATCCACCCATTCATCCCCGTACTCTCATTCAACAACAACCCAAACGCCGAGAGGTCCATCCCCTCGTACCCATACTGCTCACTGAGCAGCCCCCCTCCCCCTGCGCCTCCATCCCCATTTCCGAGCACTGCTTCATATCCATGTTCATTCACTTGTCCTCCGAGGCCTAAAGATCCATTGGATATACCCCGCACCTGCTCATCCAACCCTCCGTTCACCACCCCGTGACCCACCCCTCTGATCCCATTGTCCCCACCCGGCCCAGGCCCAGCAGTCTGCGACGACTGCGACTGCGACTGCGACGGCGGTGGGGGCGGGGCGTACCCCATATGAAAGCTTGCCGGATTATGATGCTCCAGCGAAGACATCAACTGCGCAAACGCCACACTCGAAGCAGAATACTTGTCGTACTCGTCTTTCGTCAGTGCCGCCGTTGGCGCTGACGCCGACGTCGATGCCGATGTTGAGTGGGGGAGTGGAGCGGGGTAGGATGGTTGTGGGTATGCGTTGACGAGGTTCGTAGGTGGGGCGTGTGAATTTGAGAGGCGACGATGATGGGAATGAGAGTGCGACTGGGAGTGGGAGCGAGAGGGGATATTTGGAGTATTGTAAGCTGAGTCAAGACGAGGGATAGGAGCTGGTATGGGCGGCACCATCGCCGGCTGCTGATACTGCGGGCTTTGCTGTGTTATCGTCGAAGACACAGAAGGGTGCGAAGAATGGGAGCGATTATGGGACTGGGCTTGCGCTTGCGATGGGTGTAGAGGCAGCCGTATAGAACGGATCATGACCATCCCAATTTGCCTCAGCGTCGCAAACAAGTACTTTCCAAGTGATATCGCCGGCGACTTGCCGAGCGGTATCGATCCAAAGTTTTGCAATTGGATTGCCAGCTGCGTCAGCGTCGATAATCTCTGTAATGTCCATCAGCCACCCATCCTCTCTTACTATTCTTCCTACACCACCCCGCGCCATACACCCGCTTGGTGGGAGGAAGAGGGGAAAGGGGACGTACAAAAAGATCTTCCAAATGACTCTCCCTCGTCAACTCCAACTTACTCCCCATCAACTTTACCGTCAACACCGCGGCATACGTCAACATTGTCAGCGTTATACTCGGGCACAAGTACCGCGCTTCTTGTATGCCCGACCCGCCTTGTCGGGAGACCCAAGTGTCGATGGATTGGCAGGCGGATGTGGATTCTTGGAGACACCTGCTCATATGTCAGATTCGGATGTGGTGGATGGGCGGGGAGAGAAGGGGGAGATTGGGACGTACAAGCCTAGGGTCGACTCGTTCAACCTCCCCTGATTCAACATCCGCTCAAAAGGCACCATCAGAACCAAAAACCGCGATGCTTTCAATATGATATCGTGTATCGCATAATCTTTATCCCACCCATCAGCTCACCATCCCCTCTCCCAGCTCGTTTCGCTTGGAGGAAGGAAGGAGACTCACGTTTGGCAGTCATCAGACTCTTCCACTGCGCAGTCCATCGCCCAAAACCTTCATCGACAATCATTTTGACATCTTCAAACCTGACAGTCTCGTCCGACGCGACTTGGGCGGCTACTTGGCGTTGCACCTGGATCTGTTCTCTACATCAGTCGACCATTCCCCATTCCAACAACGACAAACAGCGCCGCAAAAGAGAGTGGGGGAGGGGGAGACGTACGAGCATTTGACGGGAGGAGGCAGAGCTGGTGGTGAGGACATCGTGGTCGATAGATCCCTATACCTTGTCAGTAGACTGGCGGGGGACGGGGATGGGAGTGGGGGAGCTTACGGGGGCGGTATGCCAGGTCGCAAGCATTCTCTTTGACGATAATTCTCCCTCCGCCACGAGCGGTTCCCTCCCTCTCACCAACGCCAGTCTTAACTTTTCATCAGCCTCACCGTTTCAAAAGAAGAGGGAGAAGAGATAGAAAGCTCACGCCCGATCAAACGTATACAAATTCAACCACGTCCTCTGACTATTCCTCACCAACTTGACCTGCATTTCCGCCGACGCTTTCTGGTACTGCATATTGCTCGACACGCAAAAGGGGATAAGCCGGTCCAGGCGAAGGGTTGTAGCTTGCATGATTGCTGTGGCTATGTGTTGCCAGCACCTACCCCTCATCAGCCCGATTTCCCATTTCGATATCAATGACAAGCAACGATTGACGTACCTCTCCTGCCACTGCAGATCCCCCTCCTCCGCCTGCCCCAGCCAAAGCGCATCAACCATCAGCCCCTGCACAATCTCTATACTCCTCGCATTATCCATATACGTCTGCATCTGCAGCCCTTGGGTATGTTCGCTCAATCTCTGGAGGGTCGTGTGGGAGAAGCCGGGGTAGTATTTGGCGGCATTTTTGAGGATGGTGGAGAAGAGGAATGTGGAGCGGAGGCGGACGAATGCGAATGTGTGCAGGGCGGGGTCAAACATGTGTAGGAGGGGGGCGAGGTTGTCCATGAAACTGTACCCGCTTTCAGCACGTACACCAACAAAATAAGAGGAGGGAGAGGGGAGGACATACTAGTCGAAGAGCAAGGAAGCTTGTTCTTCGCTGACGATACCGACATTGACGACGTCGTATTCTGGGTGAGAGGCGAGACCGTCAGTCTTGGAGAGCTCGACATTCTCCACAGCGCGGGAGGCTGTCTCGCGGGAATGCTGCTCGGGGCTGAAGAGTGCTTGTAGACCGTCCTGTATGCGGAGAGCTGAGGAATTGAAGGTCAGCTGGGCACGGGGGAGTAAAGGGAAGAGGCTTGCCGTCGTCGGGGGCAAAAGCGCTGGCGATACGCTGCGGAAGATCATGAAGCTCGACTCTGGGATGGTGTTAGTGATAGCTGATGGGATATCAAGTCAAGACTCACGGAGCGAGCTGTTCTTGGCCTTTGTGGGCGATGCTGGTATCGGCCAGGATATGAAGCGGATTGATAGAGTTGGGCTGTATCTCGATCAGCGTCGACCACTTTTCGTCTGTCGCCAACCCACATGATGCAGCTCTGGCGACTCTTCAATACTCAGCGTTTCGGATTTGGGTGAAAGGCTTGCTTTTGACGATGCGCCCAGCAAAGCAGCCTCCTTGCGGTAATCAGCCGCCCTTTCGCTCGTCCCGGCTTCCGCTGCAAGCCTCTCTAGCGTCTTGCGGCTGCGAACCAATCAGCACATCACTCAAACCACCTATCGCGAAATAAAGCGCTCACTTGCGATGCCCACGCTTGCGGCCAAGAATCCGAGGCTTGGTGTCACAGGGAATGCCCTTCTTTCTGCATCTCGCGCAGACCTCGGTCTCGCTTTCTCTCTGGCACTTGATCTGTACGAGTAGCCTGTGAGCGATTACCCCTTGTGGCAGGGAGAAAAAGACTCACTTTGCGGCCGCGGCATGCGAGGCAGGAGGTGGTGTGCATTGTGGAACCAAACACGGCGGACAGTGGGATGATGGATGTGAGCCGAGATAGATGCAATTGGTGGCCGCCATCCACAGTTCTGGGAAAGGTCCCGCCTAAGTTGGGCTGCCCGGCCCGGATTGTGCTCACGTGGGTGCGGTGACTACCCCCGTTCCGGGATTGTCGACCCAAAACGGGGTGATCGGTCAATCGGTGTTCTGTTGACAATCTAGAATCCGCTTCTCTCTATTTTGACACCGTCCATCTCTATGTCATATCATCCATGCGGCTCCCTTCCCCCTCTACATCTACATCCATACCCCACCCCACCCTCAACCTCAACATGCGTTTCCTCTTCTCCACTCCCCAGGATACCGACCCCACTCCCACTATGGACGAAAAGCCCCAGCCGCTGGTCAGCAAGAATGGCAAGATCCTCGTCGTCGGGGGCGGCGGTACTCTAGGCTCTTCTACCGCTCTACATCTCGCGAGACGTGGCTATACCGACGTACGAGTGCTCGACGTTTATCAGACACCTTCAGCCTATTCAGCAGGTAACGATCTCAACAAGGTGCTTTCTCCAATCGACCTCATGGTAGAGGAGAGTCGCTAATACCCGGATCTTCTCGTAGACTGCCGGAGCTGGACGGTCCGGAGTATGGGGCCAAGTCGGCCAAGCTGCATGGAAAGCATGGACCACCGACCCTCTCTTTGAACCCCACTGTCATCCTACAGGCATCGTACGTCCTTCTCTCAACCCCGTCATGGTTATCGCTTATAAAACCAAAAGGCCGACGTATGCAGCGGCAAGGATCCCAGAGCAGCAGATCTCAAAGCCAAATATGACAGTCTTGTTGCGTCCGGTCGCGCCGGCGACTATGCCTGGCTCGATAACGAAGACGACATTATCAGAGTCGCTCCCCACCTCAAAGGTGCCCACATCCAAGTCCGTCCCGCCGTCCCCCATCCCCTTCTTCATCAAACTGATCATAATGCACAGGGCTGGAAAGGTCTCTGGGGCACCCAAATGGCCTGGGTAGCAGCCAGCGACGTCCTAAACGCCGTCGGCCTCGCCGCCCAACATCTCGGTGTCAAAACCACCTTTGGCACCTCGGGCACATTCAAAGAACCGCTCTTGTCTGCGGATGGGAAGAGGTGTGTGGGGGTGAGGGCGGTGGATGGGACGGAGTGGGATGCGGATTTGGTGGTGTTTGCGGCGGGAGCTTGGTCGCCGGTGTTGCTTGATCTGGAGGGACAGTGCGTGAGCAAAGTACGTCTTCTTCAAAGTCATCCTCGAAATAATCCCAGTCTGACGATGGACGCAGTGCTGGGTCTACGCCCATATCCAACTCACCCCCGAAGAAACACTCAAAATGCGCAACATCAGCACCATGTACCACCACAAACTCGTACGTCCCCCCTCCGCATCCATCCCCTCCCGACCGCCTTCTGACACCCGAGCTGCAGGGCTTCTTCATCGAACCATCCCCCACCGGCCTGCTCAAACTCTGCAACGAGTTCCCCGGGTACACAAACCTCACCCCCTCTACCCCTTACCCCCTCACCACGCCCACACTTCTCTCCTCTCCGCGCGCCCACGCGGACCATCCGACGGATACGATCCCCACTGAATCCTTGCTCGCCATCGAGAAACTCATCAAAGTCTGCCTCCCGTGGCTTGAGGGAAGAGAGCTGGTGAAGCAAGGGATGTGTTGGTGTACGGATACGGAAGATGGGAACTGGTTGTTGTGTGAGGACCCGAGATGGGAGGGGTTGGTGTTGATGACCGGGGATTCGGGGCATAGTTTTAATACGTTGCCGCAGGCGGGGAATGAAGTTGTGGATCTTATTGAGGGGACTGTGAGTCTTCTTCTTCTTCTTCTTCTTCTTCTTCTTCTTCTTCCCTTTTCGTGTAGCGGGATGCTGACTATACTGGTAATGGTAGTTGTCGGAAGAAAAGAGGAGCGCATGGAAGTGGAGACCAGGAAGGGGCGATCCGGATGGTACAGGTAGAGCAGGCGGTCCGCCCAAGGATTTGAATGATCTGCCGGGGTGGAAGCATGGTGATGAGTGACGCTTTTCGATGAGAGTACTCGAGTAGATAGTCTAGAAGAGGGTATACAATGCCCATGCATATACAGTGCATTATCCATCATATCGGACTATTGCGACGAGAAGTACTTTAGGGAGCTAGTAGGTGTCTCAATTTTTGAGATGGGCGATGTACTGAATGTCGTCTTTGATCTTGCTCATCCTAAATAGGCGTCCCAATTTTTGAGATGGGCGACGTACTGAATGTCGTCTTTGATCTTGCTCATCCTACGATCATATCTTTGTCAGCCTTCTACCTTCGCGAGTATCGTCGGGCCAAGGAGTCAGACTTACTTGTAATTCTGGGTATCGCCCCAAGGATTACGCAGTCGGACTCTATCGTCGAATCATCATCAGCCACCCCTCTTCGAACGATGTCTAGCAGGAGGGGAGTTTACACACTTTCGCTTGTCATCCGTATCCCCGTCCTCCACCACAGTCATCGCCGTATAACAGTGGGAATCAACAAGTTTACTCGTGTCGGAATTGGTACAAACAGTCATCGGACTTGTATCGACGTGGCTTACCAGCATGTCCCCTATCACGCATCAATCAGCCCGTTCACATCAAGGCGCAGATCACCAATCGGAAATGTAGAATCTGCTTACACCATTTCGAATCGTCCATCTCGGCAACAGCCTCCAATCCAGTCAAGTATGATAATGCTTTATAGGCGAAGCCTCCATCGTCGTCGAATTTGCCGTCGGTTATACCGGATCCGCCGTGTTTCTTGACGGCAGCTTGCAGGGCACTCGGCCACCTATGGCCACGCTCGTCAACATTTTTGTCGGCACGAGATTCGTACAGCAGACGGTAGACTTGCCACACATAGATACTGGCATCATCATTCCCCTCCCCATTCCCCGTATCACTCAACGTCACGTCCTGATCCTCTTCTTCCAACGTATCAGGGTCCCACACTTTGGCCGTCACGGCCACGACGGAAAGGCTTGTTTGGGGATTGCCGGCCCTGGTTTGGTGGGTGAAGAGGTCTTTGATGAAGCCGGCGTTGCATTTGGCTAGGGAGCACATCACTGTGAGTACGTAAGACAGATCAGTTGATGTGATTTTATCAGAAGAGTGGATAGAGTGGGAGATGGACTTACCTGATGCGAGCCAGCAGTCCGGTGCCGTTGCTATACCAAACTTTAGTTCCTCCCTCTTCCTCACTTGTCCCGCAAAGGAGCAAGCAAGAGTCAGCAAAAGTCTTTACTTACTTTGATCGATATCATCACACGTCGGCCCTGTGGACGGATCCCACAAAGCCGGGCCACTTGATGTCGGCGTATTGATAGCCGTGGGCAGCATCAAGGGAGACGCCGATACCATTCGTCCTATTACTGCATTTTTTTACAAGAAAGTGCCGAAGGTGAGCTGCTAGCGATCGGGTGCCTTTTCGAGAGAGAGACGACTCACACATCATCATAGCGATACTCGTCCACATCATCATAGCGGTAATCTTACTGTGCTACTATAGGCAGTTGGTAATTGGGTATGCTACTTTACAGACTGCACAGCAGTCAAGTCATCAAACAGTATGAGGCCTAATCGAAGTAAAGTATCTGCGCAGTCGCCTTATATATGTGGGCATCGCGCATTATGGGCATAACGTGATCATCAGCCGGAAGCGAAAGTCATCGTACATCCTTTCTAGATAAGCCAAAGGGGTTAATGGGTACAAAGGATCACTCACCGCGTGGGAACGAGTCTCGCAGTAGTCGACGCCAGTGAAAAGACCGCGATACAGTCCCTTGTCTATGGCCGAGTCGGTCGACGAGATATGCTTGTAGACGCGAGGGATGAATTCGGTAAAAGGAGATCTCGATAGGCGGGCGAGGGTCAAGGTATGGCGACGACAGCGATCCGCTGCCAGAAAGTCGTAGACGAGGCTCTGGATCTCGGAGGGGAGAGGGAAGAGCGATGTGGTGATGTCGTGGTTGGGATTTTACTTATTAGGGCACTTTATGAATTTGACGTTTGACTGTTCTGTCTAGCATTTATTATTGACACGTTTACAGACATCCCGACGTACGAATACCACAGATGACAGCGCGCGCCGAGTGGTCAAGCTCGTATGCGCCGCTGATATCTTCTCTAGAGTCCTCTACTCACTCTTGACATCGAGCTCTTGAAAGATGGTTGGAAATCCTACTTCATTGTTTGGGCAAGCACAAGATATAGGGTTGGGGTGCGACATGAAGAGTGGATACCGGGACGATGAATCGTTGAGAGGTCGAGATAAGTTAGGACAGCTAAAAGTGATGGTGATCTGTGGACGATGACAGCGACGAAGCTCGGGATAGTTTACGAGCATGTCGCCTATGGCGGTCAACTTCCGAAGTCTCAAGTAGCCGGACTGAATGGTATATGACTGCTCATTCTGGCGAGATATACATATGACATGGAAGGCGTATGTATAATGTAATATACAGTCGTGTGCCAACTTCGCCGTCTACACCTTCCTGAAGCCTGCTCACAAATACGTGAAAGGCTTGCTCGCCATCTCCTTCGTATTGATCGCCATCAACCACATCTGCGGCCCATACTTGTCCCACACCTCCGCATCCGGCAGCTTCACCTTCCTACTAGCCTCGACGTCTGCAAACAACATATCTTTCGGAAGACCTTCGAGCTTTTCAGCTTGGCGGGAGAAGAATTTGGTGATGGTGCCGGGTTCGGAGGCGTCGGGTTGTTGGCCGGTCATGACGAAGGAAGGGCCGGATTGGGAGGATTGGTCGAAGAATGTATCTCTTGCGCGAAGACCTGAGAGATCATCAGACGAGGAGGACTATTGTGCGGGGCGTGGGGTACTCACAAGCGTGTTTGACGGAATTGACGGTGGCGTACTTTCGCTCCGCAAAACTAGCCCAAGCACACTTGCAAGCGAGATCTCTGAACCCTTCCTTCGCCTCTTCCTCGAGCGGGTCTTTGCTCACGGCAATGAATGTTGCGGCAAGGTTACACCATAGAGCACTTTCGCTGGAGATGGAGTATCAGCGACGACTATAGGGGAATAAGGGGCAAGGACATACAATTTGCCGAGTCGGATGCGAAGAGGATCGCCGGCGGGCAGAGCGTCGGTGTGGTACGGAAGCACGACACTCCAGGCGAAAAAGTATTCTGCAAACGCATTCGGAAACTCTTTCTTCCTATACAGTCTGCCCCCGACATCAGCCCTCCATCTCAAGTGGACTGGTAGAACTCACTTGTTTGCCTGCGCCTTCTTCATCTCCGCCTCCGCCAGCTTGTGCTCCAAAGAAGGCTGATCCACCGGCTTGTCCTTGATCATCTTGACTATCGCGTCAAATTCCGAATCGCCTGCGGCGGTAGACATAACGGTTCGGAAGACGTGGAATTTGGCTTGGCGGAGGTAGTGCAGGGCGGTACGCTCGGCGGGGGTTGTGAGGGAATGTGTGAGGCGGGTTTGGAGATGGTAGAGCGGCATTTTGGTTCTAGGAGGTTTTAGCAAGAGAAGAATGGGGAAGAAGGGGGATACGTACTCGTTGAGATCTTCGCGGTGCTCCTCGGGCATCTCATCCCACGCTGCCCAAAGCTCAAAGGGCGTGAGGTCGCGCGGCTTCTTGCGCTCTTCCAGAGTAGAAACGGGAGGCGGTGGAAGTATATCTAGATGGTATTAGCAACGAAAGAGCGACATGGCGAGGACGTACCAGGAAGGTGCTTGATCCATCTTTGAGCCCATGCGCGAGGACCGAAAGCTTGAAGCGCTTCGATGGGGGGAGGAGTCAGTCGCTTTGATTCCTCGACATCTTTGAAGAGCTGCTCCTTGTTGACGCCCTCGAGAGCTTCAGCTTGGCCGGAAAAGTAGGCCGCCATCTGCTCGAAATGCCGATCCTGGTAGGGACTTTTTGAGTTTTGGTATAGTCGGCGAAGAACGTCGCTGAAACGCAGGGCTAGGGGCACAGTCAGCGCCGTCAACTCGAAGCGGAAAAGAGGCGTACTGGCATTTCGGACGGTGATGGCAGCCGCGAAATCTCGCATCTCCCAAGTCACCCACGCGCACTGGAAAGCCATCCTCAAATACCCCTTCTCTTGCTTGACTGTTTTGGAGGCCTTGGCAAGTGCTATGCAGGTAGCAGCCATGTTGGCGAAGAGCACGGCCTCACTGGTGATGGGTCAGCTCGAGCGGACGGAGGGCCGGGCGGGGACTGACAAGTAGCCTAGACGGGGGCGCTGAGTATCGGTCTCGGAGAGGGATTCAATATAGTGCGGGAGGACGTCTTTCCAGGCTTTGGTGTATTCTTCCATGGCATCTTGGAATTTGCCTTGTCGATAGAGTCTACTTCAAGTCAGCGAAGAGTCGCCGACGGCACCATCAAAGACTCACTTGTTCGCGCCCTCTCGCTTCGCCTCGACTTTGTCCAGCTGAGCTTTGAGGTTGTTGCTCTCTCCGTACTTGACTCCCTGGAAGCTCATGCGAAACATCATTCCGCCCATTGTAGGGTCATCTCCGAAAGGGTTTTTGAGTCGCTCAAAGAACTCCCAGATCGCCATCTTGCTGAGACGGAGACTGTGCAGGTCGGCAGAGACTGCTGGGGCGGTACGGTAGTACGTCAGTCGAAGAGGAGGGTACATGCTTGGCGTCTGGAAGCTGGCATCATCACGTCAGCCAACATCTCTTCGCTCGGGGGCAGTGTACGTACTCATTGAGGCCATACAAGACGTCTTTGGGCAGCTGGTCAAAGTGCTCCCACGCGTGCCATATCTCGAGATTGGTAAGCTTTCTTGGTGTTATATGGTCGTCGACAAAAGTGGGCGCCATGTCGCTGTTGAATCTGTCTTTGCAGGACGGTGGACGGCTGATGCGGGCTCGTGATGTCGACGAAATGAAAACGATCCAGACGCGTCTAGGCGTAGTTACGTAAATGCTTGACGCGCGTGATTTCCCTGATTTTTGGCCAAACAAGCGGGACGGGAAAAAGAGTCGTCTCCCTCAATTCACATCGCAAAACGTCTCTATTCCGCAGACATACACCAGGCAGCGGGGGCAGCGGAAACCTTATCAGGTGGGAACGACTGTACGAATATATCTTCACGAGTGAGTCTTCTCATTTTTTCATTTCTACCCGCTGTGACTACCCCCCGACCTTCTCAGCTGACCGCTCTTCCAGCCTTACGACCTGTCCTCTATCTGTACACATCACGTCGCTTTCTTTCATCACAAACATGTTCTTCAACGAATCAGCCATGCCTTCTTCCACCTCATCATCTCCCTCTTCCGCCCAAGACGCCTCTTCGATGTTGTATGGCTCTCCAAACAGCTCCGCGACGTCCTCACCGCCAAGTATCTCGTCTATCACGCGCTTTTCAGACTCGAATTGCGAATCGCCAATGTCAAAGTACTTCAGAGACCGAAAGCAGGGTTTTCAGAATTCCGCCGACGTGAAACCGACTGCGGAAGACGATGTACGAGATGGAGCGGCGGAGATTGTCGACCTTGCCCGTAGCTCCCCATCGCCCTCTCCCAATGCCAATCATACTTTGCCGGCTTCTCTTTTCGCAAAGAAGACCGGCAGTGTCATGAACTCGTGGAGAGAAGGGGAAGAGTCAGAGACGCGCTCGAAACGATGGAGTCTTGGCAAGTGTCGTTCATCATTGATCACGGCGTCGACTGACTCAAGTATAGATTCCGCGACCACCGATGCCACCTTGGTCGACCCCAACTCCCCGTCCCCACAAGCAACCGCCAAATCGTACTTTGCGACCCAAACCTACCGCCCGTCTCTCCTTTCCCGCGGTGTCTACCATCCAAGCGACCCCAAAAAGAGCCTGTATGTCGGCGGTGGTGACCTAATGCAAGAGGGATTCACCGGGAAGGGAATGAGGCCTCTCTTACTTCTCTCGAGAAGGACTTCGAGCTACACCGATGATAGCCCCTCCCGCGAAAGCTTCCCATCTCCTACTATCGAACCGCCCGTCGCCCCATCTTCTCCAATCGGCCTCGGTATCTCATTCCAACCGCCTTCTCCGTCTTCCGACCCGGCATTCATCCCCTCGAGCCCTGTGTCTTCATCGAGCTCGTTCGACTCTGACAGCGAGTATGACACACTACCTCATATCCCGCTGCCTTCTGACATCTCGAATGCGGTTTCGGCGTTTGTCAAGTTTTTGTCCCCCGATGCTTTCGATCTCACCGAAGATGATTTTGACGAGAAGAGGGAGAATGCCGAAGAGGATGAAGGAGAGAAAGAGGATCGAGTACAAGCGAAGGCGGATGAGGAAGCGATCAAGAGCTGCTTGAAGAGTGCCGGCTCCCCGCCTCGGGCTGGCATGAAGGGCGTCAGGTTCGACGTTCTGCCGCCCCGTCATATCAGAAAGATGTCTTCTTTGGAGACAGTCCTCATCCGCTCTGACACCAGCGAGGATTGGCACCCCATCTTCTCCTTCCGGTTCGCGTTCCCCTCTCTCCCCTCTCTCCCCTCTCGCCCGACCCTGCAACCTTCTTCCCATGCCGCCAAACCTCCCCCTACCCCGCCACAAACGAATATCCCCCTCCTCTTCTTGACGTTCCTTCTCTCTGTCTTGGTGGCGGTTATGGACTGTATAGAGCGAGGTGCGGTGAGTGTGGTGAGGGGATGGGTGGTAGGAGAGATGATGTTGGAGGGGGCGAGAGTCGATGAGCGAAGGTGAGTTCTTCTTCTTCTCCTCCTTCTTCTGTTTCTTCGTGTACGAAGGTGGGGCGCTGACTACGTATAGGAGGTTGGTGCGACGAACTAGGAGGAAAGGAACGGCCGTTGCTGTTTGATGGACTATTCTTTGATTCGGCGTCGGTTGGTTTCGGATGGGATTGGTAGTGTTGGTGGTGGTTGACTGGGCGTGGCTTTTGTCATGGCTTGGACCATTTTTTTTCTTTCATATGACTGACGATATATCATGACACTTTTACTTATTGGGGCACTTTATGAATTTGACGTTTGACTGTTCTGTCTGGAATTTCTCGACACGTTTACAGACATCCCGACGTACGAAAACCACAGATGACAGTGCGCGCGCCGAGTCGTCAAGCTCGTATGCGCCGCCGCTGATATCTTCTCTGAGTCCTTTACTCACCCTTGGCATCGAGCTCTTGAAAGATGGCTACGAATCCTGTTTCAATGTTGCACGTAGATGTAACGCTTCAATAGAGCCTCCTTCAGCGCCCACAAGATCAGAATCAGTAAGACGCCCCCACGTCAAAGTCAAAGGTCGCCCCTTGTCAGCCCCTCATCCGACTTTCCGACTCGCCCCGTCAACGTCCATAGTCCAAACATCCCACTCCATCTCCCCGCACCCCGCACCCCGCACCCCGCACCCTAGGCCTACACATCCACAAAATCCTCCCCCTCGTATGCACTCCCAAGTCCCAACCCAATCCAAACGCAAGTTCCCAACCCAACCCAGAAACCCAAAAACATCGAAATCTGATTATGCCAATGCATCCAACTAACTCCCATTACACCACCTCCCACCTCCCTCCTCCCACCTCCCACCTCCCACCCCCCTCCCCCTCCCCCTCCCTCTACCTCCCGGTCCCAAGGGACTCAGGGACTCGGGGGGATTAAGCCAAAGTAACAGTAGCCCCCAAATCTTGCAGCGTCTTCTGGAGCTTCTCGGCGTCTTCTTTGGGAACGTTCTCTTTGAGGGTTTGGGGCACGGATTCGACGAATTTCTTGGCCTGCGCGCGCGGGGGGTGTTAGCTGTTGTTCGTTTTTTGAGGGGGTGGATGCTAGGGAGAAGGGGAAGGGGAGGGGGAGAGGGAGGCGATTGGGATATTTGGGCGAGGTGGAAAGGTGGGAAGACGGGGAAAGATCATGAGAAAGAGACACTCAACGCTCGACGCTCGATGCGCTCTGAGCGATACGTCTCTTTTGGCTCGCAAGCACCCCAAACAGCGCAGCGATAAGAGCCGCCTGCCACGGCCCGCCTCCTCTGCCCGTCCAGGGTAAGGGTATTCTTCCACCGAAAAGAGAAAAGCCAGGACTCCTTCTCCTCCAACTGATCGATCGCTCGGGCATGGTCGACCAGAACAGTACACATCCCACGTCTGACAGCCTTCCCCCCTTCCCTTTCGCGAAATCACCCCCCGCACGCCACATCGCCCTGTCTGCATGGTTTTTTCGTCCATCGATCGTAGCCCCCCTCCACTCCCCACATCTCGCCCACCTCATCGACGTACTTCTCCCTCCCCTCACAAAACCCTCCCAGCCCCTCAACCAAACAACCAAACAACATGAAAACACTCACCTCAACCAAGTTCATATTCGGCATCATAGCCTTGACCTCCCTGATGATCTTTGCCTTTGCAGCCGCATCAAACTTTTCGAGCTTGACGGTGAAGATCGTCTTCTCCTTGGGCTTCTCCTCGACGGGGGCTTCGGCAGCTGCTGAGGGCGCGGCGGGGGCGGAAGCGGCGGGCATGGCGATCTCGGTGATGTTCAATCTTGTCTGTACCACCCAGTCACCAGTCAGCCCCCCCTCCATGGCAAAAGACACAGGGGTAAAAGAGGGAAAGAGGGAACGCACCTTGAGCGCAGAAACGAGCTCGGAAACCTCCAAAAGACTCAATGTAGAGATGGTCTCGACGATGGGGGCGATCTTGGGGGATACGGGGGCGGCGGCTTCGGCATCAGGCTCGGCGTAAGAGGGGCGGGATGAGGAGAAGGAGCGGAGGGCTTGGCGGGAGGAAGAGGCGATTGGTCGGGCGGAGCGGAGGAGAGATCGGGAGAGCTGTGATGAAAGTGAGAAGGGTAGAGATGGGGACACAGACGGACGTACGCTCATGGTGACTGCAGTGGGATTGTACGAGTATAGCGACTTGTCGAAAATGCAGAGACGCACGGAATCAATCAGGTGCCACACCCAAATCATCCCGCGTTTCGCCGTCCCACTGTTTGGTTCTCTTTCTCGAATGTAGAATATTGATATGCATGCTTTGTTATAGACAGTGATAGTAGACACTGGTATTCAACCGTTATACTTGTGTGCGACCTTCTTTCCAAGTTTCCATTACATGCTTCTTCCCATCTATCCCTTTTCCCGCCCTAGCCCGATACATTCGTCGCTTTCGCATCATTCTATCACGCGTCTACAATACGTCGTCAGCGAGTATTCAACAACATGTATGGAGGATGGATTACTCACAATAAGAATTACCCGCCTGCGCATAGTTCATCGACGACAGCTCATCCTCCGAAAACTTGTCTTGATACTTTTCGTGTGTGCGTTTAAAAGACTACTCCATAATCAGCACTTATTCTCGTACCCCAAGAACATCCCACTCACAGCAACACACGCCCGGATAGCCGTCGATATAGGCGCAGGGTCAGAGACTCTCGGCGCAAGTACGTCGGCAATCAATTTCGCTGTTACCCCAAAGTAAGTCAGCGGCGACTCCAACCTCCCTCCAAACCTCCCCTTACGAAAGAAAGGAAGACTTACGCATAAACTTGGGCACGGTATACGGGAAAGCATCCACAAGCGCCGTAGCCCCCAGCACCGCCCCATGCAGATGAACCATCTTTTCTTGATACTCCGGGTTGACTTGCCCCGGGTTGATTTGACCGGGGGCGCGCCGGCGGGGGAGGGTGATCGATTGGATCTCTCGCGTGAATTTGTCCTGTCAAGGCGTTAGTTTTGCGCGTAATGCAAGTCTAGAAGGGTAGAAGGGAAACTCACTTTGAGGATCTCTACCATTGCCCTCTGCGAGCATCGAAGGAATCCGCTCAACGTGCTACGATACGTCGTCAGCTGGTGACCCTCAAAGACCAAGAACAAGAACGAAAGAAAAAAAAAAACGCACGCCGAAGCCATCTCCCGAACCTCCTGATTCGCATCTCTCAAGCACGCCGCGACAGCCTAGGAGGACGTTAGCAATCCGTAAAACACAATAATCCCCCTTCGCGGCTTCGCCCACTCACATCCAGACATTGCACCTTGCACCCCTCCGACAGCAACGCCAGATTCCGAAAGTACACCAAGCTCAGAACAGGCATCACATTCATCCGCGTCCTCCAAGACTTCACAGAAAAGACTATTAGCAACAATACTCGAGACCCTCGAGACGTTTAGATGGGACGTACAGTAGAATCCTGAAGGATCTGCACCAGTTTGGCGGTGAGAGGTTCGATAAGCGTAAGCGCGGGGGTGATCGAAGTGATCATGGCCAACAGACGGCCGCATGTCCGTTGAAGGTCGAGGTTGTCGTTCATCTCCCGGAGCTCGAATATCTGCGGGAGGATGGGGATGATATAGGGAAAGGCTGATACAGCGCGAACGTCTGATAACTCGACAATCATCCACAGAAGCGCTAACATGAAAGCGTCAGCGGAGATTTGATAAAGATGGAAACGCGACGCACCAGTCATAGCAATCTTGTCATGCTCCGACAACACCGCCTTGGGCCCATGCTCTCTACTTTCCTTCAACCCCGGCAGCGAATCAAAGATCCCCATCAACTCTGACTGATAACGCGCACTTTGGATGTGCATAATGTCCTTTTCGTCCTTGGGGTCCTCGAGGATGGCGGTGACGAATGCGGCAGCGTTGGGGTAGGACGGGTGGAACTATCACAAAAGTCAGTCATTGCGAAAATCGTACGTGGTGATTTACGTACCTTGAACTGGTCGGCTGCGTTGAACACAGAGCCAAGTAAACTTCGGACCTCGGCGTATCCGCACCCCACCTCCTTAAAGTAGACTGCGAGAACGTCATCCGCCCAAGCGTTGAATCGCCATTGGAGACATCGCAAGGCGGAGCGAACGAGCTGGACGCTTCGGGTGACTGATTGATACGTTAGCGAGCGATCCAAGGCAAGACAACAACTCACGTTGGAAAGCAGCAGCACCCTGAAAGTCGGCATTCAGGGCAGTATTCATGCAAAAGTCGATGATGGGCAAGAACCGCCGAGGGTCGTGCTCGCACAGAATATACTCGATCGAGGTATCCCAGCATCTACTCATAATCAGCAAAGAACAGCAGATGCGATGTCCAACTCACTTTGTAGTATCATGCCTGATATTCCCATACAACTCTGGCAGCTTCGGGGTAAACCAATCCCACAGGATTTTCCTATCCTTCCCAGGCCACTCGATCCCGCCTCTGATCACTCCCGCCAAAAACTCCCACATCGCCCTCATCTTGTGTCTGTCGTAAACCTTCCTCTCCTCCATTTCGGCCAAGTAGCCTTCGACAATCGGCCTGACATAGTGAAAGATCTGAATGCCATAGATTTGGGAGAGGGCGAGTACGAGGTCGATATGCGTGGCGGAGGGGTAATTTCGCTCGGCTTCTTGGGCCCAGAGGTCGGCGAGCTGGCGTAAATGAGTAATGGTTCTTTACGGATACGATTACTCACACTCTGCCACCAACCCTCCTGCGCTATAGCCTTTTCGATAAGGTCTCTCGCCGGTAAACTCGCTTCCTCAATCGGGAACAACGGCTCGTCCCAGCCCGAAAACCTCGTGACCTCGAGCTTCTTACCCCACGCCAGCCATCCCGACTCGACACGGTCGTGCAACCAAGTCTCGCTCTCGTCGGTGACTGGCTCTCTGAAAGACTGGAGATATTTCTCGGTAAACTCGGGGGACGTGTCAGTCAGGGGGATTTCCTTGGTAAAGTCGTCGATAGGCTCTTGCAAGAACAGCAGTTCTTCGGAGCCCTTGCAAAGGGAGCGGAGCGTCATCTGGAAGAGCGCTCGAGTCACGCCACTACGTCGGATCAGCAAACAGTCTTTACAGATATGCAACTTACACGATACCATAATCTCGAACTCTTGGCAGAGGGTTCTGCACATTGTCCATGAAGAAGGCCGTCAATCTTAAGTCCAACGGCCTATCCCTCCTCATAACCGCCAATAAAAACCTTGCCGCCGACAAGACATATCGCCAGTTGAGACCCGGCGTCTGAGCCTTGGCGAGGACTCTGTCAACAAAGATATCCCACTGCTCGTCCTGGTGAGTCAAACGCTCGGCGGTCCCTCTCTCAAGATCGCCAATAAGCTCCTGGCTCGGCGTGTGCGAAAGTACACCGGCCAACTCGTCTGCCGCCTTCTTCACCGCCTCGAGACGAACGTCCATGTTGAACGACAACGGTTCCTTGATCCTCCCAACGAGCTCATCTGTCGCCTTCGCCACAAGCGCTTGAACGGACGCCTTGGTCTCGTGGTGGGCGTTGAGCAGGTGCTCGGTGAGCTCGAGAAGTTGGCGCCAGTCTTTGCCGATACGGTTGATACCGATATGGTTGTACCGCAAGACATAGAGCGCACCCTTCATGATGTCGGGGTCGGTGCCAGGCTTGAGAGCGTCAAAAAGAGTGGGGAAGCAAAGCACCCATACGCCCCTGTAGAGCTTCGCGACAGTGTCCAAAGCGCTTTGCGCTGACCTCCTGACTCGAACAAAGGGCGAAAGACAAAAGTCGAGCATATTGACGATGAGTTTGTCGTCAAGAGCAGATCGTTTTCGGTAGTACGCCAAAGTCGTGAGCCTAGTCTGATGATAGACTGTGCCGTTTGCGAGATAGATGGAGCGGTGGTGCTTCCGCTGACCCGACAAGAGCTTCTTTGTCTGCGTCATCGCCGACAGCGCACCCTGCGAGTTGGCAAACTGCTTCGACCTCACGCCGTAGCATGTCAGGTAGGTGCTGATCGTCGTCACAAGGAAACGGACAGATTCAACAGAGTTTTCCGACTGGCCCGCCGTACGCATACTGTTGGCAGCCTGGTGGAGGGTTTCGGCGATTCGGTGGCGGAAACCTTCGACGTGGAGGTAGCGAGGGTCACTAGGGTCGGTGAGGACAAGGCCGGACCTGTATTTTGGAAGCTCGGCATAGAGGTTCTGGGGCAAGAAGCTATTCGACATTAGCTCGCGACCTATATAACTCAAAGAATGACTTACGAAGGCGCTTGCTTTCCCCCCACCTTCCTATCTTCAATCTCCTCGATGAGGTTATAGCTCCCCCTCAAGACCTTATCCACCACATTGATCGCTCGACAGAACTCGTTACTCCACTCCTTATCCCCCATCTCCCCGCGTTCTTGCTGGACCAGCTTTCCAATTCTCCCCGCCGCCTCATCCGCAAGAGCCAGCACTTCAAACGCCATATCCACATCCTCCTTGCTCGGCATCTTCCATTGCGGCTTGACCTCGCTGGGGCGGTAAAGCTTGCCCCAGTATAGGTGATGGTTCGCCTTAAAGTCGGCAGATTCAAAGGTGTCGACGTTGAGCATCTTCATCTCGGTGTAGTAGACGGATGTAAGAGAGGAGACGGTCTTTTCGATGATCTTGCCGGTCCAGGCGTAGCCGCGTTCGGATAGGCAAGAGTCGATCATGATACGAAGTAGTTCAAGGAAGGAATTCTTGATGGCGGGGTCAGATAGCTGTAAACGGTCAGCAAAGAACATTATCGTTAAAACTCACCCTTGTACGGCCAGGGATCAAGCACCCGATCAAGATAGCCTGCCACCAATGCAGCGTCGCATCGGACGGTAAAGGAATACTCGTCGTAGTCGTCCTCGTGCTCGACGCCCCACTCTTCAGCTCGCTAATGATCCTATGCTTTGCGACGGGGAAGAACTTGTCAAAGACCTTTGGCGCATTGTGGCTTGCAAGGTTGCGTACGAGCTCGCCGACAGCTTCGACAGCATTAGACCGACATGTCGTAGTGGCGTATTCAAAGATCTGGTCGAGAGCAATGTCAAAGAGCTTATTGTCGAGCGAAGCAAAGACTGTGCCGCAGGTATGCAACACACTCTGAAGCGTGACCTGCTCCGTCTTGCCTCCAGCCCTTCCACTCTTGCCGCCTTCCTCCGGCAGGTTTCCAAACAGCAGAAGCACCCGTCCCAAAAACTCGGGCACCCAATCTCTGAACGCTGCCGTGGCGAACCTGACTCTCGAGTCCACCTCTTCCCGACTCAAGTCTTCCTCTTCCAGCAGCACCGGGTCATTCGGGTCGTCCTCGACCTTCGCCCTTTCCACCCTCCTGACCGCACGCGCATTCTCCTCAGCAGCGGTAGGCTCGGCGATAGAATCTCCATCGGCGATATCGGCCAAAAAGATAAAGTCGACGGCGTTGGAGATACACATTGAAACGAGGGCAGATTTCGTAGGGTCGTTGAGGTCGATACCGGGGAGGAGAAGGGCAAAGATATCCGCCGCGTACATTCCTCCACTCCGCCAGATCCTCCTCGCGATAAGGGGCTCGGCCAGAGCAGCGAGCGTGTAGATAACCGCCGGCGTCCTCTGCGTCTCCTCCAGTCCTTGCAAGGACGGTACAGCTCTCTCCATAACCGCCGGCATGATCAAATCCGGCTCCAAGAGCGAGAGCTGCTTCAACGCCGAAACCGCGGCCGACACCACCTTCATATCCTTGTTGAAGATCGCCGTCAATGCCAGAGGGCGGAGGCAGAGCACAAACTCGCGCTTGATATCGGGCGTCAGACGCCAGTCGGTCGGGGTGCGGCATTCGGGCTCTTCTTCGTCCTTGTAGCGTTCGACAAAGTTGGAGGCGAGGTGGGAGAGGAAGGTGCAGAGGAAATTGGACCAGTGGCCAGAGTTGCTCGGGTGGAAGAACTGCAAAAGTGTGAGCAATTTCTCAGGAGATGAGCGTCGGATACGTACAGTTTCACAGCTAGTCAACAGCCTCGACAAATGATCCAACGCCTTCGACCCTCCCAAATATCTCCTCTCCTTCTTGCCTCCAATACCACCAAGGTTCTCCTTCCCCTTCCCCTTCGCCGGCTTGACAGGCGTCGCAACTCCGCTCGCCGTGGAGATTGCCGGAAGAGAGTCTTCCGACATGGAATAGACGATCGTCTCAGCGAGGGATTGGACTCTGTCGATAGGCTTCTTGGCTTCAACGACCTTTTTGGAGACGCGGGTGTCGGCGACAGTGACGGACATGGCGTTTTGAGAAGCAGCGTTACCGCCCACGGGAACGTCTACACATCATCAACAATGTTCAAAGAGAAGAAAAAGACGACTCACTCAAAGACCTCAGACACTTGGACATGATAAACTCAAACTCCTCATCCGTGAAAATTCCCACATCCTTCCTGATACCCTTCCACGAGGCATCTCCCAGCTTCTCCTCCTCGCCAACAAGACTCGGCGATACCCAAAAGTTGAGCCCATCCGCATCTTCTTCCACCTTCCCGTCCACCTCCAGCTGACGCATCTTGTGGTGTCGTTGACGTTTGCGCTCGGAGGGATTGTCGGCTTCTTGTTGAGGTGTGTTTTGGAGGTTGTGGGGGATACGCGCAAAGAGAGAGGGGTCGGAGCGGGAGGGGTCGACATGCGCGAGTGCCAACTGACCGACCAGATCCGACGCCTGGTCATCCCACAGCCCCGAGTTGAAGCCCTTCCAAAGCCTAAACATCACCGGCAACCACTTGTGACAATTCCCAATCGGCAAGAAATGCACAAGGAAAGTCTGCGTAGCGAGGATAGAGTCCATGCTCCCCTGAATGTTGGGAATGATGGCTTCGAGCATCTCGTCGACGTCGGCGGGGTGGAAGAAGCGCTGGGCGTCTTCGGCGACGTTCAGCAGCGTCGGGGCGAGGTTGACTGAATGTCGCGCGAGCTTGCTGGGGTGTGGGAAGAGCTCGAGGTAGAGAGCGTCGTACAAGGGTCGCCAGGGGATACGAAAGTCGTAGATGGTGAGGGAGTGGTCGCTCGCAAGTGTGGTGAACATGTTGGCGGCATTCTCTATGATACCCGACGAGAGGCCGGGGAGAAAGATGATCTCGTAGTAGAGAAAGATGAGCTTGATCTTGACGTCGCGCTTCATGGCGTAGCCCATGGTCTGCCAGATGGACAGAGCCGAGTCCCAGACTCGGAAGCCTTGATCGAATTCGCGAGCCTTGACGCATTCGACGAGCTTGCAGCAGATGTAGTCGAGCTTGTCGTCCATTTCGGCAATGGTCTCGACTTCATATGGGAGGGATAGTTGGAGGCCGACGGAGGAGAGACGAACATCGTCAGGCTATGCAGTGTCAGCGGGATTCAACGTGTATGCGTGGAGATGATGATCACACCCCCACCCGCATAGAAAAGTGACTCACCTCCTCGCCAAGCCTGTTCGGCACCTTGGAGGGCCAAGTCTCGCTCATCTGGACAAAAGTAGCGCCTTCTTCTTCGTTGTCCGAGTCGCTCTCGTCTAGTTCCTCCTCGAGCTGAGCGAGTTCGTCTTCGAGGTCGTAGTCTTCCTGCTCGTAGTACTTGTCGTCGTAGTTGAATGCGCCGGACTCTGCTGTGGCCTGACCGTACTGGGGCCGCTGTGTGGAGGTGGGTGCACTGGGTAGTAGCGCTGTGTGTGCCCCCATGTGTTGGAGGATGTGGAGAGGCAAACGAGAGAGAGAGATGCAATTCAACATTCTCATCACGCACCCACCAGGGCTGACGCGTCGCGGACATCCCCGCATCTCCGCCCGTGACGTGGCATTTCCCCGTCAGAATTTCCTCGCTTCTCTGACTTTTGACATTTCTGCCCTGTTCCCTATACTTCAAAAAACCATCCACCATGTTGGTCCTCACAGAAACATCCGTCGGCTTCGTCGTCTTCAAGCTCTCCAGCGACGCCAAGATAGACAACAAGGACCTCTGGAAGGAGTTTGAGACCCCCGAGGGCGCCAACAAGGCGTACGTCCGTCTTTGGAGTTTCACAAGCATCACTGACGCCCCGTAGCCTCAAGGTCCAGGCTATCCAACGATTCACTTCCACTGCCTCGGCCGTTGAGGACCTCGCTGCTGTTCAGGAGGGTCGACTTACCGACTTGCTCTCCAAGTTCATCCAGGAGGCCGTCGCCGGAGGGGAGGATGGCGAGAAGAAGAAGAAGAAGAAGAAGGTGGAGGAGATGCTTGTGGTTTCTGAGGCCAAGCTTGGTGAGTTGATGTTTCGATTGGAGGTGTCAACGATGGTAGAGGGCGGGCGGGAGGCGCATTCACAATGATTGGTGGAGAGCGATGGGTGGAGAGCGATGGTGTTGGTGCGATGGACGACGAGTGGAAAGCTGTATCATGGGTGCTTGGGAGTCGAATTTCAACTCCATGATGGAGATACAGCTGGCCCGAATGACACCTCAGACCAAAAATTATATCGGAGCCATCGCTGACTCTCTCCTAGCCGGTACCATCAACAAGACCCTCTCCATCCCCGTCCTCTCCGACTCTTCCACCCAGGACCTCTACCGAGGTATCCGCCAGCAACTCGCCTCCCTCCTCGGTGGCGTCGACCAAAAAGACCTCAACACCATGTCCCTCGGTCTCGGTCACTCTCTCTCTCGATTCAAGCTCAAATTCTCCACCGACAAGGTCGACACCATGGTCATCCAGGCTATCGCTTTGCTGGACGATCTGGACAAGGAGATCAACATCTACGCGATGAGGGTGAAGGAGTGGTACGGTTGGCATTTCCCCGAGATGGCCAAGATCATTGTCGACAACATTGCCTATGCGCGAGTCATCAAGGCTATGGGTACGTGCATCTTTCTTCTCCTTCATTACCCATCTAACAGCTCTTAGGCTTCCGAACCAACGCCGTCCACACCGACTTCTCCACCCTCCTCCCCGAAGAGCTCGAAGCCACCCTCAAACAGGCCGCCGAGCTCTCCATGGGTACCGAGATCGCCGACTCTGATCTCGCGCACATCAACCAGCTCTCCGACCAGGTCATCTCCATCTCCGAGTACCGAACCCAGCTCTCTGAATACCTCCGCAACCGAATGCAGGCTATCGCTCCCAACCTTACTGCTCTTGTCGGCGAGCTGGTGGGCGCTAGACTGATCTCCCACGCGGGCAGTTTGATGAACCTCGCCAAGCACCCGGCATCTACCGTCCAGATTCTCGGTGCTGAGAAGGCTTTGTTCCGAGCGCTCAAGACCAAGCATGACACCCCCAAGTACGGTCTCATCTACCACGTACGTCCCTCCCTCCCTTTTCTCTGCTCCCAGGCTGACTTTTCTCCAGGCCTCTTTGATCGGACAAGCTCCCCAAAAGCTCAAGGGTAAAATGGCCCGTATGGTCGCCACCAAAGCCGCCCTCTCCATCCGCGTCGATGCCCTCTCCGACTCCGACTCCCGCTCCGAAGCCGCCGCCGCCGAAGTCGGTATCGCCAACCGCGTCAAGCTCGAGTCTCGTCTCCGCGCGCTCGAACACCAAGCCGGTATCGTCTCCACACGCCGCGTCACCGCTGGTTCCGCCAGGCAACAACCCAGGTTTGAGCTTAACGGCGCTGCGGGCGGTTCTTACAATGCGGCTTCGGATAACCCTACCAACCCTGCCGACTTGCTGCCTACTCAGCCCTCACCTGCTCCTGCCGCTGCTGCGGCTTCGCCCGAGAAGAAGGAGAAGAAGGAAAAGAAGGACAAGAAGAGGAAGAGTTTGGCGGCGGAGGAGGTTGGGGATGTGACTATGGACGGTGATGAGGTTGCTGGTGAGACCAAGGAGGAGAGAAGAGCGAGGAAAGAGGCGAAGAAGGCTGTACGTCATCCCCTCCCATACCCCCACAACACAAAAACTGACTTGCTCCATAGGCCAAGGCTGCGAAGAAGGAAGGCAAGGAGGATGGCGAAGGCGAGAAAAAGTCCAAGAAGAGACGCGCGAGCGAGGCTGCGCCTGCTGAAGGGGGTGATGCCGACGGCGAGAAGAAGAAGAAGAAGAAGAAGAAGGACGAGTAATCTTACTGCCCATTCTTCCATCATTCATCTTGTACTTCTTTTCTTAGTCGCAACCTTTTGTCGTTTTCTCTCATCATCTTTTTCCTCCCACTTTTAGAGTCGAACAATCATTTTGGCATAGACTCTGTGTATGAACATATACCCTGCTTGCATTCTACCACTCTGGACTGGCATCTTGCGAGAGCAAAACGTCCCGTGAAGTACCTTGACCGTTCGCTCGTCCCCCGTCCCCCCACAAAACCAATGATGCTCGTCAAGTTCTCTTCGTGGCATCATCGACATCTAGCAGATCTCATCAGCACTACGCACCGTCACCTACTTGACCGGGCATCAACGATGCGTACGAGGTTGGCGAATGATCGGGCTAACGTGAGTACCGCATGAACAAGGCCGTCGACTGCATGTGCGCGACAATATGCGCTTATATCACCCTTGAGATTCAATTCATTCGGTAGGGGATGATTACAGTGTCAGATGGGCCCACCGCAGGCTGATCGTCTAGCTGTAAGAGCTCGATTCTAGTACTCCGCAGCATAGCACTGTAGTCGGACGGCCCTCCTCGTCAACTTCCGACGTCGTTACCTGTTTGTGTATGGATGTTTGGATGGTTTGTTTGAACCAGGCGACCGCCATGTTACAGTTACGCGAGAGTACGACAATGACAATGCTCGTCAATCCATACGATCTATATAAGGTATACTGTAGAATCTCTAATGCTGAAATCTAACCCATTGTCTAAAAAACGCTGATCATTCTTCTATACAACCAAGAACGGAAGCCCTCTATACCTCTATACGACCTATACCTCTATACGACGCGGTTGATGGCGCCCTTGCCGTCGAGATAATCGGCCATGATGTCGATAGCTGTGTTGCAGCCGTCGAGAGTGATGCTGTCTGTGCTGCCGCCGCTATAGCAATAGTCAGCGTCTTCCCAGTACCCAGTACGGGAAAGAAGGCGAAGGCGAAGGCGGAGGGGGGAGGGGAAAGAGACAAAAAGCTTACAGATGAGGCAACAGAACCACATTGTCCAGCTCTCTCAACCCGCCCAAAGACTCTCCGTACGCCGGCTCAACCACAAACACATCCAACCCCGCTCCTCCCAGCTTTTTCGCCTTGAGCGCCCTCTCCAACGCGCGCTCATCTACGATCCCGCCCCGCGCGGTGTTGATCACCACCGCCGTGTCCTTCATCCACCCGAGCTCCTTCTCTCCTATCAAGTTGCGCGTGCTGTCGTTGAGGGGGCAGTGGAGGGAGACGACGTCGACTTGGCGGAGGAGGTCTTCGAGGGAGGAAGCGCGGGTGTGGGGGAGGGGCGTTTGGTTCTGGGAGCGCGCGTCGGAGGAGGAGGAGGTCCAGCGGGTAGGAGGGGAAGTGGGGGAGAAGACGACGAGTTGACAGCCGAACGCCAGGACGAGCTTTCCGACTTCGTACGAGATATCGCCCATGCCGACGAGACCTACGACTTTACCAAACAGCCCCGGGCTCAAGGCTTTGATGGACGGCACGCACTCGCCGCTCCTGATCCGCCGGTCGACTTCGAGCACGCGGCGGAGGACGGTGAGCATGAGGGTGAGGGCGAGCTCGGCGACGACTTTGGCGTTGCCGCCGGGGACGTTGGTGACGGCGATGGATTGGGAGAGGCAGGTTTGGATAGGGACGTTGTCGACGCCGGTACCGTTGCGGGAGATGATACGGCATTTGGGGGCGGCTTTGACCATGTCGGAGGTTACGTTGCCCGTTCGAAGTACTTCCTTGAGTCAGCGTGGGTTGGGAGGGGAGGGGGAGGGGGAGGGGGCGTACGGATGGCATCGATCTGGGGCATGAGTACTTCCCATGGGCCGTCGCTCGGCCGGAGGAGGCGGGCGAAGCGGGTGGCAGCGTAGGCTTCGGATGCGGGGTGGAAGGGGGTGTGGAGGTAGACGGTGGCCTGGGCGGCGCGGACGAGGGGCTCGGCGGGGGGCGTGGGGAGGTGGGTGGCCATGGTAAGAGCAGGGAGCAGGGGATTGTGGAATGGTGGATGGAAAAAGACGAGAAAAAGATGAAAGAAGATGAAAGCCGAGATAAAAATGTGACTCGCTGGCGATAAGAGTCGGATCTCGGCATCGCGGCTCGGCGGGGTCTACTCCGGCAAAGCGCTCCTCTGGCTCGACGCAAGCCCCTCCAAAGAACGCCCCTGGCTCTCCTACCTCTCCCACCTCCCCTACCATCAGCGAGGCGAATACTCTCGTCTCACAGCTCAGCCCGCGCTCAGACGCCTACACCGTCGTCACCCCCGACCTGATCTCGGAATACGAGGCTAATTTCTGGTACCATGGCATCTCCGTCGACCCTCCCAAGCTCATGTGGCGTTCGGATCTCGAAACCAACCCCTTCCCCACCCCCCAGCGTGGAGACCGCTTCTTTAAAGTCCCCACCAAGACTGCCCACGGCGTGTTCAATACGCCGCTTAACAGCGTCTGGGACACCGTCGCTCCCCGGATCATCGCATCGATCAAGTCCCACAACCTCCAGTACTCCGCGCTCAAGGCGGTTCGCTTCTCGACCCGCTTCTCGACCCTCCAGGACGAGGACGAAACGTTTGGTCCTGTCGTCGTGTGGATCGCCGTGCGGCCCAACACCACCAACGCCGGGGCTGTTCGCGATGCCACGCCAGACATCCTTGGAATCCTCGCTAGCGCCAATGTCACCGGCATCGTTGTCGAGTGGTACGAGGGGTCGGTCCAAAAGCTGGCCGGCCAGCCTCTGATGAGGGTCGAAGAGTCCATCAGCCTCAGTTTCGGCCTCAACCACCCCTTCAACACCGGTCTAGGCATCCCCATCGCTAGACAGTCTGACGACGCGCAGGGCACCATCACATTCCTTTTCCGGGAGGTCAAGGACGGTAACGGCTATCCTAGCGACAGGACTCTCGCGGTGACCAACAAGCACGTCGCCTCCGTCGACGCGCTCACCACTTACGAGTTCAATGAGGCTGACCCTCAGCACATCCTCGTGTGTGGTGAACGCCGTTTCGCTCGTGCCGTTGTCGAGATTGAAAACAGCGTCAACAATGCGTTCCGGGACGCCGTTATACTTACACGGAAGTTGAAGCGCATGGAGTCGACCTCGGACGGTCAGAACAGCGTGGCCGCACAACGCCAGAGGTCCGCTTTGAACGACAAGAACGAGGACATCGTTACCCTTCAGACGCTCCTCACGAAAGTCCAATCCGATTGGGAGGCTGGCGAGCTCCGTGAGTTCGGTCTCGTCGACTGGGCTCCCGAGATTTCCGTCAGAGTCGACAACCGCCACTACACTCGCGACATTGCCACGTTTGCGGTCGATGGGGCGAAGCTCGAGAATTTTGAGGGCAACATCGTCGATCTTGGTGCGTTCCGTTTCATTTCCCCGCCCTTCATTCCAATATCGCATACTGATACTCTACTCTTCAGGCAACCAATACCGCGTCACTGAGCTCGAGGACTTCTTCTGGCCCGTCACTGCTGTTCGCAACGGCAGGACGATCCCCGACAACCTGCAGCTTCCCATCCGCAGGGCTCTCCCTCGCCGCCTTGTGATTAATCCCGACACGGAGGACCAGAATGGCGAGCCGCTCTACATCGTCGCCAAGTACGGCAATACGACTAAGCTCACCCTGGGTCGTTACTCCGGCATGGAGGCCTACACCTGCACCAACCTCGGACTCGAGTCTAGGGAGGTCGCGGTGTATAATTACAGCAAGTTTTCCGGCAACTTCTCAGAGCACGGCGATTCGGGCTCCCTCATCTTCACGGGCGATGGCGACGGGCTCGCCATGCTACACTCAGGCATGTCTCGAGGCATGGGCAATCATGTCACCTTCGGCACGCCCCTCTGGTGGGTTATCGAGCAGATCCTCGGCAAGTACCCCTCGGCCGAGTTCTACGGCATCACCCTCGACTGAGCGCAAAGCACGTCCAAGCTCCGTCCTCTCGTTTCCGCCTCCCCCACCGTCCTTTCTCCTCGTCTTCTGTTTTCCTTCTTTCTCTCTCGTTGGTTCGCACTCTTTCGTTCCATCCTTTACGCTAGTAGCTGATTCTCTTTATCGTTTAGCTCTTTGGCGGATCGCACGCCTCATCTGTTTTTTCAACGTCGTCTCGCCCCCCCCGTCTCTCTTTCATTTCTCTTTGATACTGTTCCGCCCCCCCCCCCCTCCCCACTCCTGACTCAGGGTTAGCGGGGGTGAAGAGAGTTACATAGATCTTGTAAAGCTCATCAGTTCTATGTACTTAGGCTCTATGTAAGGCGATGTCGGACAGAAGGAAAAAGACAAGACGGCCATACTCGCCAAGTCGATAAAAAACCTTCCTCGCCTCTAGCTACTCCCTCCCCCTCGCTCCTCACATCCACAGCGTCCTCGCTCTC